ACCCCACCCGCCCTGCACCACATTCCACTACACGCACGCCGGCCACTGCACTCACAGGCACTCCACGGCACTTTCACGGCACGATTTCACTGCGTTTCGACCGATTTCACCGCTTTTCCACCGGTTCCACTGCACCCGCCACGTGGCACGCACTGCACCCACGCATGAAACCCACTTTTCACTGCAGCCACTGCACGCACGGCACTCACAGACACTCCACGGCACTCCCACAGCACTTTCGCGGCACTGCACGGCACAATTTCACCGAATTTTCCACGTTTTTCACGATTTTTGCAGCACCGACGGCACGTGCGTCATAGCGTCGGTCCGCCATCTTGGAAAAGGCCGATTCACGCTACCGCATCCCGGATTTCGGTTGGCACCACTTACCTGCTGCGCACTTCCGCTTCGGGGATTAAGTTGGTAGTCCCTCAGCGATCGTTGTTCGTTAAGTTGGTGGTTCTGCGGGTACTGCCACACGGCCATCTTGGTTACCATTGCTCAATGACTGATTATTCTTCGCAGGATTACATTCATTTACACTTTTCGCCTCGCTTTTCTACAGCGACAGCCGTCACGCTTCGGGTTGCTGCGTCACTCATAACTGTTGCGAATATTCCACTGCTTCGGTCAAGCGCCTTTTAGGTTGGCAGTTCTGAATTGTTGTCGAGGATCGATTTTTCAGGTTGGTAGTCCTTCTCTACCGCTGTAGCCGTCATGTTGGCAATGCTGCGGTTACTGACGCACGACCATCTACATCACATTTCCTCCGTGACTCTACAGCGTTGGCACCATTGCATCAGTGCTAAGCGACGTTCAGGTTGGCAGTGCTGAAGTAGCATTCACATCTGGTCCACTAATAATGTTGGCTATCCTTCACTGCCTCGATGCCCATCGTGTTGACAATTTTCCCGACCGTCTCGCTTCCCGCTGTTCAGTGACTGACTCGTTGAAGTTTTCGTTGCTGCCCAATGTCGCGCCACACTTATTTTGGCAATCTTGCTCTAGCGCCATTTCCATCAGGTTGGCGTTCTTGAATTCCTGCTTGCTGGCGCACAGCCGTCTAGATCACCGATATTCTGTGACTCAATGTGGTTGTCAGTACTTAGTTGGCGTTTACTTTCGGTACGGCTATTACGTTGTCAGTCCCTCACTGTCGCGATTTGCTTAGAGTTGGCATTACTGCAGTAATACCTGTTGACCATCTGGGTACCAGGTTCTCTCGATCTCTCTGAGGTTGGCTATTCTGAATCCCAGCAGCGAATCGTTCAGGTTGGCAGTGTTCAATTTGGCCTTTACTTTTGATGTTGGCACCTCCGAAACACCCGTTCACGCCGATGCGTCCGAAGCGCTGACCATGGAGAGCCGCCGAGGATTCCTTCACATTGGTGCCTTTACCCGTTCACATTAGTGCCTCTACCTATTCACATTGAGTCCTCTGTCCCGTTCACATTCATGTTTATACCGATTCTTATTTCCTTCGTTTCGTTGTAATACCGCTAAATCGATTTCCTTTCTTCGTTTTTGTCGTTTTCTCTTCGTTTTCTTTCGTCTTTGGAAGCTTTTTGAAGTTTTCTTGGCTTTTGGTAGGTCTTTTCGAATTTTCTCCGCGTTCTTTCTTTTCTTTTTCGAGGTTGGCTATTCCAAATGGCGGGGATGTATTTCGCAGGTTGGCATTGTTGAATTCTTGTACGTTTGGAAGTTGGCAGCTTCCGGGCACTACTCTCGACAATGCGTGCGGGGAGCGGACCAATGTCATACGCCGAGGCTTCGTTCACAATGGTGCCTTTACCCAGTCACATTGATGCCTATACCTGTTCACAATGGTGCTTATACCTGTTCACATTGATGCTTCTACCACTTCACAGTAATGCGCGTGCCCGTTCACATCGATGCCTATTCCTTTCTTTGTTTTCTTTGCATTTTAGAGGATTTTTTATTTCTCTTTGCTTTTTACAGGCGTTTAGAGATTTTCTTTGCATTTTAGCGGCAGCTACAGATTTTCTTTGCATTTTAGCGGCGGTTAAGGATTTTCTTTGCTTTTTACAGGTTGTTTCGAGTTTTCTACGCAGTTTTTATTAAACAACGAAAAGCACGAAAAAAAAAAAAAAAAAAAAAAGAGAAATCCAAGAAAACGAAGATAGGAATTGGTTATGCGCTATTATAACGGAACGAACAGGTAAATTATAACGGAACGAACAGGTAGGAGGATGGTGATGAACCTCTTCGAGGTTGGCACTGCTGCGTTAATGCTACATGACCATCTTGAAGCTAGCTGCTCTACGACAATTTACTGTTGGGACTTTTGCATTCATTTACTTTTTCAAGTTGGTATTCTTACACCGCGACCCATCTACCTTTAATGTAATCTGTGACTCATTACTGTTGGCTATTCTGTATCGTGACTTTCGGGTTGGTAGTCCTAAACTAACGCTTATTGCGGCGCCACCCATCTTCGTCCTCGCTTATCTATGACTGACTACGGTTGGCAGTATCGCCTACTTTCATGTTGATCTCACGTTGTTGTTATCATTTGTTCATTGTAGATGCGAGAGCTTATTTCTTTCAAGATTCTTAGGTTAGAAGTAATGTAATACTTCAGATACTCGAGGGAATATTGTCTAAAATAATATTCTTCACATGGCATTGTGCGAATTAAGTGAGCACTTTTACACGTATGCTGTTATAATGTGGACTGGTACGTACGTTTAAAATATATTTCTATTAAGAAATGCTTTAAAATTCTCGCTACAATTCTTTCCGGTCTCCACGAAGACTAGATTGTTATTCGTCATGTCTGACAAAGAGGAAAGCGAGTGCGTTAATGCCAATGAGATCGTTAGTAAATCCGAGGAAACAGGAGAAAACTTGACGAACGAAGAAGCGCCTACTAGTTTGGAGGCTATTTCTTCTGAAACTCCTTTGGTTCGCAACGGAGTTCAAAGTACTTCCAAAGATAAGTCAAAAAGTAAAGAGGCATTATTGTGCGACTTCCGACAACATGAATATGGTTTATTAATATTTCATTCATTTTTCAGTCGATATTTTATTAAAAGCTACTGGCAATGCACCGATAATGAAACAAAAGAAATGGACTGTTAGCCAAGATTATTGTATCGGTCGAATTTCTGATTTTATTAGGAGATATTTGAAGTTAGATTCCAACGAGAAGCTGGTAAGCGAAACACCGAATGCGCGATGGCTGCTTCGTGTATTTTGTAATGTCTAACGTATAAAAATGTTATTCTACTTTCCTTCTTTAATAGTTTCTTTACGTAAATCAAACATTTGCACCTGCACCGGACCAAATAGTGAAAAATTTATACGACTGTTACGGAGCCGATGGTAAACTGATACTTCACTATTGTAAAAGTCAAGCGTGGGGTTGATAATTGGAAAATGATATGTTACCGAAATATTTTACATTTTAATTACTATCGTCGATGTTTAACGTGTACGTACTAATCTTACGCGTTTCGTTCGATGTTGAATATCAAATGTTTCGTACAGCTATGCTACACCGATAATTGCAACGATTTAAATGCGAGCGATTACCGTGAAAATGAAAAGTATGGGAAACGATGTAACTCCTATTTATTTGTATAAAACTTTTTTTTATGCTGTTATTGATTTCACGATGCAAAAGAAAAGCATGAATTAAAAAAAATAAATATGTGCGACAGCTTACATTATTTCTGCATCTCAACGTTATCCTATCTCAAAAATTTACAATAATCTGTAAACTGACTGTATCGCCTTCTCTTTCTCTCTACGTTGCGTATTGGAAACAGGTACGATAAATGCAAGTCGGAAAAAAAAAACCATTCGTGTTAAGCAGTAATTATTAAAATGGATTGCTATCGATTACGATTTCGGTATTCACAGGTTTATTGTACGTCTGTTAAGTATCGTGAGAAAAAAAATACCTATTCTAACCTATCTTATTTTTCTCAACATTTTCTACGACGCGCGCAGTAGTTCGTCTTTCTACGCCTATTAGGATGCGCTCGCCTGTCATCGCACGAGAAAGAGGTTAGTTTCGATTTTAAACTTTCGGACAAAAACAATGTACGACTCGGTGTAATTTATGATTCGTGTGTTTCGTGTCCTACAAAAAATAACGAGTAACAAACTTTATTCTTTTAAAGCAAAACCGTTTGGAGCAGAATATGGCGTCCGGCAAAAGTACGAGGGAAATTTTGTTGTCGCTCGTCGACGATATCGAATTGATAGCGAAGTTGGTACTCGTTGAACACGCGATAAAGGTATTTGTGATTTTCTTGAGGAAAAAAAATTATTAATCTTAATATAATCTTTTTAGAGAAATGATCGAGAATACGATAGCTCAAAAGCCTATGAAATTATCGAGCGAGGAACACGCTCGATTAACCGAATTATTAATTGCTAAAGATAACGAACTTAAAGCGACGTTGAAACGAGCAGCTGAGCAGGCAAAAATTAATTTAAAAATGGAAGCTTTAAGAGCCGAAGTCGAGAGACAAGATCAGGACATCCAACAGTTGCAACGACAATTGAAGGAAGCTGAACAAATTCTAGCTACTGCCATTTACCAAGCGAAACAAAAGTTACAATCTATTGCTCGTGCTAATAAGAAACCGGTTCCGTCCGAAGAATTAATTAAATACGCGCATAGGATCAGTGCATCCAACGCTATTTGTGCTCCCCTCACGTGGCAGCAAGGAGATCCTCGAAGGCCCTATCCTACAGGTACGTTGTTCGTTCTTGTTTTTGGCTTTGATAATTGGACACGGACCACGTCTCTTGTACAGACATCGAAATGAGACTAGGATATCTTGGAAGACTAAGCGATCTTCCTCTGAACGGGCAAATGTTGGGCACCCATCCTGGCATATCGTCGGATTTACATAGAGCCGGACATCCTGTGGGCGGTATGGTTAAAAACGCTGCGTATCCGCGATGCTGTTAATTTCGTTCTTCTCATTACGTCGTTTTTTTTGTAGAACCTCCGGTGTCGCAAGCTAATCAATTCGCGTGGCACCCCTCCGGTGAAATTCACATGTCGGTGAGCGGGCAAGGAAGCGTCGCGATGAATACGCATAAACAAGAAACGGAAGACGTCGAAGTTATGTCGACGGATTCGTCTAGTAGCTCGTCTAGCGATTCGCAGTGAACATTTTGTATTTCTTAACGTTGGAGGAAATTTCCAGATACGGTAGGTGAAATAAATTCTTTTTACACGAGTGTAATACAAAGCGTGCGAACGTAACTTTATTTATATCGATTAAACATTTTTCATCTCTTTTTCTTTTTCTTATGGTCATCATAGGAAATAAACAAATTGCTGAAAAACGTGCCGATAGAATTTCTTATATTCTCTTCTTGTATATCGTTGTGTTTCCCGTATCGTTAAACAGGTCCAAGTAAAATATGCGGTAGAAAATTATGTACAGTCTGAGGCGTGTAGTACGCTTCGAAATTGGCCTAAAACGATCGTTTATTATATTTATGAAATAATTCGTCGAGAACAAAATATTTTTTTTCTCGTAGCGCGATAATCTTTACCAGTTGTACGTCGTGTTTGAAATTCGTTTTATGAAATGAAATGTTTTCATCGATGCAAACGAGACCGAACAGTTTGCAATCTTCTTGAACCTTACTTATACTTTTGTACGATAAAAGCTCTAGCAATTTATACGCTGGGAATGTAGACAATTTACAACTGTATCCCGTGCTCATGATTTCTATTGCTTTTCTGAAATATATATATATTTATGCATATATACATATATACGAGCAATGTAAAGAGACTTACCTTCTTAATTTTGGTGCGTTCGTCATAGCTGCACAGACCAGTATCGGATCTCGAAGTCGTTCGACCAAAGCGAACACGCGCACGTAATTATTCGAGTAACAGGCTAACGATATATTCGTTGATAATTCTACGTCCGAAGATTTTCTACGATAAGGATGATACGTATAGTTGTAATATAATATCGTCAACGAGTATCGTACGAGTACCTTAAGTAAAGTGGAAGGTTCAATGCCCTGTTTAACGATTCGCTATTACCCATATTTAGAAGAATGTATAACGCTTCCATTCGTTCGCGATCGTTGTTCAACGTTAAATTTTTTAAACGTTTGTCGATCGCCAAACAATCCTTGTTGATTGGATTGGTGTCGTACAGCTTAAGTAAGTGCGTAACGCATTCGGCGAGGTATAATTGGTTCGTGTGCCTATCGTATTTGCACGAATTCTCTTCGCATAGTCTGTAATCGTTTCTCATCGTATTGCGCGTCTATTATCTTTGGACAATTTTCATCGTACCTCTGTGCGGAGTAAACTAAAAATCGAACCATCGACTCGTACAGTTTGATACCTGTAGAAGATTCGTCGATTCTTTGTATCGTAACGTCTTGTCTAACGCTTCGCAAGCGATCGAAGATAAAATCGTAAGCAACGACCCAATCGACGTCTCTCCTCGTAGCTATCCTAAAATACGTAATTTAACTGGTTACTACAGCGAATGAATTTGTAAATCGATATTCGAAAAAAAAAATAATTATATTCGTGCGAAGTATACTTGGTAAACAAATATTTGACCGTCGATAGTAATACCGATGCGGGTCGCAGAACATTCGGATCGGTCATAATTAATCCTGCTGCTGACCGGGTATAACATTTGATAGTTTTTTTTGGATCCGCTTTTGGTTTTCTTCCTCCTTTCGCATTTTCGTCGATCTCGAATTTATGCAATAAACCTTTTTCTTCTCTACTACAAATATTATGTTGCTACATTCGCTTTCGAAACTGTTACTACGTTAGAACAGTTTATTTTAAGTTTCTTTTATGCGAGCATGTACGTGTAATAAAATATAAGCAACATTCGATAAAAATTAATGAATTTCATTCACTGTTCATCTAGTAAAATTTAAGTAAATTATTGTCTTAAAAATTAATACGAGTTTGATGAGATTTTAATTCTTTGATATCCGAGAAAAAAGCGTCAAAGAATAAAACAGTCGCTTTAACAGTCTTTTTATAATACTTATAAATAGCCGAACGTATTAATTTCGTTAAATGTTGTACTATTTCATTGTCGGAAGATGAATTCTGTTTCCCCTTATTTTATTATCGGAGGATGGTCTTCCTAATAAGGGAAATAATAGTATTTTTTTCATTGACGCTAGTACGCCGTGTATATGAACATTGTACCTGGTATGAAAATTTATGTACATTGAGGTCTTGTTCATTTTTTTCATTAATTTTTAGACTCCAATGAAACTGTTACATTTTGTAAAGTGTCAAGGACAATAATTTACTTCAATTTTCTTGTCCAGACAACGGGTACAGATCTACGTTTTTTTTACGAAATCTAAAATTTACGTTCATATCTATAGATCTTTAGTTTTCATTGAAATATGTTGCACTGCACGACATTAGACAGAAATAACGAATGTCATATTTGCTGACACGATCGATGTCGGACAGATTTCATTGATGAAAAGATTCTTCGAATATCAGCATTCGACGAGGTTCTGTACCGTTGCTCGTTAGCAATTTCGAGCAATCTATTTTCTTTGTTTAATACGAATTCGTGAGTTTTGCGATACGTTCAACTTACATTCGTCGTTCTTTTCCTGGACACATTAATAAACATGTTCCTTGTATCAATTCGGCCATTCTACAGAATTTATGAGAAACGTAATAATTCTGGCACAATGGTTATTTCTTATTTATATTTGTCCGTGAAAACATAAATACAACGTTCGAGTTGTATTCCGCATCGATAAGGTTATAGAATCGATCATTTCCCAACTACGTATATAGGTGTTGCGTTAATGCGCATGCGTGTTACGTGTATAGTGTCACGATAAATTCGCACGTGGTCGTATGGTAAAACTGTCTTTCGCATCGACAGTTTTTAACAGTTGAAGCTGCATGAAATAATCCGAATACTCGAACAATTTGATGTACATGGTGTGTTCCATAAGTAATGCGAAGTATTTTTTTTAAAGGAATTTATTGTATCAATTCTTACAAATACTTAAAATTCTTCAAAGTACTGCCCTCGGACATCTACACATTTTTGCCAGCGACGCTGCCATAAACGGTACGCTTCCTGGAATGCGTTTTCCGGAACCGCTTTTAGGGCCTCGGTCACGGCCGCTTGAATGTCTTGTACGGACGAGAAACGCGTTCCTTTCAGGGGTGTCTTGATCCGGGGGAACAAGAAAAAGTCTGCCGGTGCCAGGTCAGGACTATAGGGGGGTTGGGGAAGCGTTAACACTTGGTTTTGGGTCAAAAACTCTCGTACTCGCAGCGCGTTGTGGCAAAGCGCGTTGTCGTGATGCAGTATTCAGGTACCGGAGATGTGTTTTCTCGTCCTGACAACCCTTTTTCGCAGTCTTTCCAGCATATTCACTTAGTAGGCGGTGTTAACTGTCTATCCTTCAGGAAGAAATTCTTTATGGATTGTTTGACGGACTGTTTTGCTGGTTTGTGGCCGCCCGGAGCGTTGATCGTTGCGAACCTCTTCCCGCCCTTCCTTAAAGGTCTTTAACCACCTCGAAACTTGTGAATACCACAGAACAGAGTCCCCATAAGCCTCATGAATCATTTTATTTGTCTCCTCAAGAGATTTGTTTAGTTTAGCACGAAAGCTTTATCGCGTATCGTTGTTCCGATCGTCGACTCCATTTTCTCAGTAACACGGTCACCAAACAGGGGGTCACAAAAATTAACGTCCTGTCCCTTTCACAGCTCGGAGAGCCCTGGGACCGAGTTCGTTGGAAAGCTAAGGGTCTCCCGCATCTAACGCACGTGGTCCGATCCCCCTCCGACCAACAGGAGCGGTTCAGGAATTTCCTTCGCATTACTTATGGAACACACCATGTATTTATTATTTAATTGCTTCCTCTAAATGCTAGATTTATTCTATTGATGGAGCGCAGAATTTGTATACGTTATACGTTCGTAGGTGGATATTGTTTATAGGACGTTAGAGGATAACCGTTGAGACAATTTCATCGTGTAATAGTTAATACGTACAAGTATGTGACGTATGAGTAAATACATGTATGGCGGGCAAAAGCAAATTGATTTGGTTTTTTCGATGGTGGTATGTAACGCGAAAAAAGAGGCGCGCATTTTAATTCGCGTTACGAAAGAGAAAATCGACGTTGGCATTGCCTCGTTCTCGTTGATCGTTCATGACTTACGCGATATCTGCCGCGTAGTTATCTCCACCGACGTCACCGTTATTACACGAAGGTTATTGCTCTTGCGTAAATTTTCTCGTTTCTTTCTCTTCATTTTCACGCATTCCTTTCGTTTCGAATGAGTAGTAATCTGTTCTTTTCGTTATTTTATTGCTCGATCGAGCCGAGGAACGCCAAAGAATACGGTGCGCGCGGGTCTTTCGTTTCGAGTAAAACTACAATTTTTTATGTAAAAGGCTTTTTGCGAAGTTGCTTACTTCCTCGATACGTAGTCGTGTCCTTGTATGTTTTTAAAGGTGCAATTTGGACATAAATAGAATATGACGTCGAAAAATTTAAAAGTAAAGTAATTTCGCGCGTTCGCGCGCGTTACTTTTGTCGCGGCGTTACCGATTACGGTAAATAGCTGTTTCGATCGGTCCTGATTTGCGAAAGATTCACGATCAAATCAGATTCACCATTCTTTCCACGTTCGCGTTACGTGGCCTTCTTTCTTGACTATTCCAAGTAACGAATAATTGCGTAAGGCCAAGGTATACGTTAATACGTTTTCCATTGCGGTTACGGTTGTTGAATGTCTTGTACCGTAATTTAAGTTTCTATTCATAATCGCGTCTCGAAGCAATTCTTTGCGTTTCGATGAAATAGCAAGTTATTCTCGTATACGAGTATGTGCACGTGTAGTAGATATTACTTCCCACCGAAGAACTATTTCCGTAACGAATTACAACAAATTTGCTCGCGACAACTAATTATATGTATCGTGCATTATAGGGATTAGAGAAGGAAATAACGATCGTACCAAGCGCGGATTTATTGCGAAAACCCGTGACGCGTATGCGATTCTACGAAAACGTTACCGTAAATTTCCGTTTCTTCTCTTTTTTTTCTTTATCGTCCTTTGCTTACCTTCGAAACGGACGATAATTCGGCGAAGGTTCGACGATCAACGTGTTTCGTCGAGTTCTACGGCCACGTTGTAAAAAGCAAAATGATATTTTTCTTGTTTGATTTTCGAAAGTATTACGCGATCAGTCGGTTTAGTATGATTTACGAGGTTCAGAAACAACGAGCGTACTATAATATATATATATATATATATATATATATACATGTATACGTACATGTACGAGTGCCGACTGTAAAACGAAATCTGATGTATCGCGTTTTATTAGAGTATTAAGCGCAATTGTAGGAGAGATTAAGCAAAGCGCGCTCGGTCTTTTGCGTGATGCGACAAAATTTCTTCTTACGGTGTACGCGTCGTTTGGATCGTCGATGTTGAAACGTCGCTCGAAAACCTGTTTTGTGGCGTGCATTCTTGTTTATTCATCGAAACGCGGTACTCCGTATTGGTAACCATTAAACTTTCGATTTGCTGCCCGGAGGATCGTACGATCTTGAACGGTCCTGTTTCCGTTCGCGATCGCATCGCGAACATATTATGTACTTATCCTTCGAGAGAGAAGATTACGCGGTGGCGAACGCGACAAGGTACGCGGCACGCGCAAGCGTTATCTCCTGCCGAAAGTTTTCGACACGTTCGCGTTCGTCCGAACGAAAGTACCGGAAAAATTCCTTCCTTCGGATATCGAGGAAAACGTTATCGCTCGAATAATATAAAAGCAGAAGTTCGCGTGCGAATATTTAATTGCATCGTATAATAACGGGTGATCACCGTTGGTGCATTATTCGTGCAACGAGGGAAAAATCGCTGGAAATTCCCGTGACACCTTTATAGGGGAAGAACGAACGATCGTGGAAAAGTATATACGTAATACGGAACCAATGACGTCGCTGTTTGTTTTTATCCTATACTCGCGTTGGCTACGTAAGAAAAGTAAAAAGTAAAAGGACCGCTGGCGATTCGTGGGGTACGGATGACCTCCACGGAATTCCTCTATAGAGAAGCGAACGGAGCTGCATTGGTCCAGTATTTCCCGAAGCGTTGCCGATTTTGCACGGTAGTAACGCGTTAAACGCGTCGACCCGTGAGAACGCGAAATCGCGAAAACGGGAAATCGAGAGAACGAACGAAAGAAAACGCGACGAAACTGCTGCAACGGGGACCGGTGTGATATCGTGCGTGTTCATCGTTTCAACGCGAAGGATCAACGTTTTTCGGCGCTGATCGTTTTTTAACCGAAAATAACGGTGGACGTTCGATCACGATTTATCGTGTCGGATAGAGTCGTGGAAATTGCATAGAATTCGATACGCCGGACGAGTGGTGCGACTTTTCATAACTGTTTTCTCTAAATTAAGAAATTCAGATTGCAGGAGCGATCGTTCGCTGTAAAGTTCGTTTGTTGAATCGAAAAGGATCGTCATTGTCCCGCTGATTTTTCGTTTTAATTTATCTTTTTCCTGATTTCGGCATCGCGACGCGCGCTTGTCGCGTACGTATTCTAATCTATTCTGATCTAATGGAATTCTTCTTGTCCGCTGGTATACTTTCTTTTAATGCTTAGATTAGATAACGCAAAACATCGTATCCTCGTTGTTCGCGGTGTTTGTCACTTTTACAGCTCGATGCGTTTGCGTATACGCGATGTTTCTACGATTTTCTTTCTCTTCGGTTCTGTGAAAAATCTTCGGTACACTGTGTAAAAACATATCGATCGAGTCAACGACGAATCGACGTAATTTCCTTTTTCTATGTACGTTATAGATACGTATGCAAATCTATATATCCATATATATATATATATGTATATATATTTTACATGTATTTTAACAAGAAACATTTTTATAGACGAAAAATGGGTCACTGGAGAAATACTTTATTGGTTCTGATCAAAGTTCCTCTGTTGCTTCGCGGTTGTCTGTCGGGTAAGTATCAAGAAGAAATTTCAAAGTGAGATGCCTATGATCGCAAAAATTGCGGAGAAAGAAATTCGAACTGTTAATGTCGAGTAACGGTAAACGGATTTTTATCGTTTAATACGATTCTCGATCTATTTTAGAAACTATCGTAACGGCATACGATCATTTCGACGTCGAAAGCGTCGATCCGGAGATAGTTGACGAATTAACTTGGACGGATCATCCGTGTCGGCGAACTTGTACGGACGAAGCACCTCCGATGGAATGTCGATACACTTTCGAATTAGAGTCTTATCGTACAATGAGCAAAGCATGCTACGACTGTCCGTTCAATTTTACGGATTGTTTTCGAAAACATTGCATACCAGCCGATGGCGTCGGAAGATCGATTTTAGTGGTTAATCGACAAATGCCTGGACCACCTATCGAGGTACTGTATCGTATATGTACTTGAATGCGAGCACGTACGTGCACTTTTTTACTTGTAGATGCGATAGAGCAATAAATTAACGGGACGTTTGTCGAAAACGAAAATTTCGATAAATACGTGAATTTCGTTTCGTTATCGTTCGTTGTATTCGTGATATATTCTGTTTCCATAAATACTTGATGGTATCGGACAGTATCGACGTATTTTTATCGAGTCTTCGAACCGACGTATTCGTTTCGCCGTAATATGCATATGTATAATAATCATAATAGTGATAGAGGCAATAGTACTAGTAGTAGTAATGCGTAATAATCTTTCGCATTTCCATAGGTGTGCCAAGGTGATAGAGTAATCGTTGACGTGATAAATTCGTTGCATTCGGAAAGTACCACGATGCATTGGCATGGCCAACATCATGTTAAAACACCGTATATGGATGGTGTTCCTTATGTGTCTCAGTGTCCAATTCCGCCAGGTTCCAGTTTTCGATACGATTACATCGCGACGGAAGCTGGTACGCATTTCTGGCATTCGCATTCAGGTGAGATTTCGAACGATCCTTTGTCGCGATCGATCGCGCATTACGGACAAACGAGGTAGTTATTCGGAATTAAATCTTATGACGATCGTTTCAAGGTTTTCAACGAGGGGATGGAGTGTTTGGTGCGTTGATCGTGCGCGTACCTCCCAAAATCAACTGGCACTATCGTTTATACGACATCGACCAACATACCATGATTCTGTCGGATTGGACCCACGAATTGGGAATCGATAAATTCTTGGATCATCACCACGCGACCGGTGACAACAAGCCACCCAATCTTCTGATCAACGGTTTCGGTCGTTTCGCGCCGCTTCGAAATGAAAACGACATAGCTTCTGCATCGATGCCAGTCGCGACATTTACCGTTAAGCGGGTAACGTTAAAGTAAAATCTGAATCTATCGAAACGAGATTTACCGTCATGAATAAATATTTAACGCTTTCTTTTTTCTTGCAGAATACCAGATACAGGTTTAGATTGATCAACGCTGAATTTCTTAATTGTCCGATCGAACTATCGATCGATAATCATACTATGCGCGTGCTTAGTTCGGATGGACGCGACGTTCAACCTATCCAAGGTACGTCGAACACAATACACATACCACATATATGTATTTCTACATATTTCTCTACTTGTTCTACTTCCGATTCTTTGTTTATTAGCGGAATCTCTGGTTAGTTACGCTGGCGAAAGATTCGATTTTGTCGTTGAAACGAACCAAAACGTAGACAATTACTGGATTAGATTTCGAGGACTAATGGACTGCGATGAAAGATTTACCAAGGCATACCAGGTTGCCATATTGCGGTACGAAGGTGCTGACGAACAAGATCCAGCAGGTGTAGTCGCGTATGAATACAGTACCAACGATTCTTCGGATCTGCCGGTGCGTTCGTTCATTCTTTGCGCTTTACATTTCGACTGTACACGCGACAACATATTGTACGCGAGTCATCTTGTTTAGGTCTAAATTGTATATAACGCATGAAAGAATCGAGTCATAATATCGAAACTATCGTCACGGCTCGAGAGTATGCGGACGACAATCGCGTGTATAGCCCACGTCTTGTTCTTTGTTCTTTTATTCCTTTACGCGCAACCATGCGGCGATTAACACAGGCGCGATGTCGTGATCACGATTGTGTACTTTTTTTAGCGAGTAAACGCTTTGAACGAAGGTACCGAAAAAAACGAAAGCCTGAGCATACCCCTGTTGAGAGCCATGGACGAAAATGATCAGTCTAACGTACGACCACCGGACTATCAATTTTACGTTTCTTACGATTTTTACAAGAAAGATAATCCACATTTTCATCGTGAAAAATTGTACGGATTCCATCAAGGTATTAGAAGAGATTCTTTTCCCTCGTGTTACGCTTTCTATTACGTACTCGTGCTACTAATAATTATCTGTTCGCGATTAATGCTTTTATGTCGTTTATATCTATTTTTTGTTTATTTTCAGCGAAATCTAACGCACGAGTACTCACCCCTCAACTAAATCATATCTCGATGAAGCTACCATCCGTACCGCTCTTGCCTCAGCGAGACTCCCTTGATCAGAACCAATTTTGTAACGCAAGCACTGTCCACGATTGCGAACAACATTATTGCGCTTGCACTCACGTGCTTCGCGTCAAACTTGACAGCGTGGTGGAATTGATTTTAGTTGACGAAGGTTTATCAATTTTTCGAATTATTATTGCTGTTACTATCAATGTTACTGTTGTTATTACGCTTCTTCTATCTACGTATGATTGTTGTTTTCACCATTGCGTACGTTTTTTCGTCTAGGTTTTGCTTACGATGCCAACCATCCCTTTCATCTTCATGGATATCAGTTTCGCGTAATTGCTATGGAAAGAGTAGGAAAAAGCGTCACTGTTGAACAAGTACGAGCATTAGATAGAAAAGGAGCGATACGCAGAAATCTTGACCACGCTCCTCTAAAAGATACCGTAACGGTGCCGGATGGCGGTTACACCGTGTTACGATTTCATGCGAATAATCCAGGTGTGAACATTTTTTTCTAATAACTTTTTTCTCCTGATTTTTCTTTATTCTTTTCTTTTTTTTACGCAAATATTTCTAACGTTAGTTTATTATTTTCCTGTATCCACCTGTTAGGCTATTGGTTGTTCCACTGTCACATTGAATTTCATGCGGAAGTCGGAATGTCGTTGATCTTCAAAGTTGGCGAACACGAAGATATGCTGCCTGTTCCGCTCAATTTTCCCATTTGTGGTAATTGGCAACCGGACAACGAGCAAACTATTGGCACCGTCTTACCGGATATTACCAAATATTCGGCAAATAACACGTCGAATATATCAATGGAAGAAATCGTTGAAAACGATGTGCGACAGCTTTTGAAATTATTACCACAGGTTTTACAGTCGCTACGAATCTCAGCTTCGCCTCCGGTGTCGATCGTTTCGTACTTTTTAATTTATTTTTCCACATTATTTGTAACCGTTACCTTCTAATACTTACCCGCTGAACTTTTCATCGAAATCAAATCAAACATGTCCACAAATACGCTTTATACGTATACGTTTTTACGTTTTCAAACGTACACGATTCATCATGCGCCCTACTTTGCTGTTACTAGGCTGAAATCGATGCATTTTTTTCTATTATAACCGATAGATTATTTTCTATTATTTTACTTTTCTACGATCTTACCTCTTCGACGGTTCTTTAACTGTTGATTTAGATAATATATTTCAGCGTTAGTGTTAAATAGATAGGATAGAATAAAATAGAATAAGATAGAATAGAACGTGTACGTGTTATCGAATATTGTTAAATATCGGTTGACTAATTTCAATGTGTCCCCAAACGAATTTTCGTTCGTTTTCTTGGACTAAGCGAAACGGAACAGAGCGGAACGTGCGCGATTCAAATGTAGCTTATTTATAAATGATTACTATGCTGTGATATAATTACCGTAACTGTACGCGTTAAGATTCTAATGTTATTTAATACAAAGATAAAGCATACTTTTTTGTAGGAGTATTATGACATTTTCACTAGGAATCGCACGGGTCATTTAACAACGCGGAAACGCACGATAATCGACAGATGGTCGATGCAAGAGGTTCGAACAGAAGAAAAGCACCTGTTCCGATGACTCTAGTCCTTGCATATTAAATGTGTTAGGTGAGAAGGGGAATGTCTGTGATTCTTGATTCTCAATGATTAATTAGCTCTAGATGAGACGTTCTAGGATTTTCGACTTAGATAGGAAAAGCGAAAAAAAGGCTAACTAACTTGTTTTGAACCCGTTGGTTCTGAGTTATCATGTTGGATATCCAACAATATTATTTTTTTATTGCTTATTCCTACATATAAATGTGAAATCAGTTTTGTATCAGATTTTCCATAAATTCTTATACTATAGATTAACGCATCTATATTATTTACCCATTAAATTTTACCGCAACTTTCTTCCAGTTATCATGAAAATGCATAGCATAGACTTGACAATTATTTTTTTACGAGAATGGTACAATTATGGATTGTTACGTTTAAACTAAATGTTGTAGTATGGTTTAAAGAATATCAGTCGTTAAACATTGATGTACGCTTCTTGAGAAGCAGAGAATGGATAAATCGCGTAACAAACGTCCTTTTGTTGTGGCCTCTGGAGAGGATGCGCCAACAACTTTGCCATATTATCGTGTAATTTGGCTGCGTTTCTTCCTACTTCTAATATATAAGAAACATTCTTTGTATCCAATCTTGCTATTTCGCTATAAATTTCTTCGCATAAATTTTTGGAACATGGTGGTTCGTGTACGTATAATACATCGACAAAAAAATATGGATTCTTTGTAAGGTTATCTAAGGAAACTTTACTGCTATCAAATTTTGGAATACTGGTAGAACGCGAGTATAATAAAATTACTCTGGTTACATATTTTGGGACAATTGTATCGCCCTTTCGTGCAGATAGAAGTAATTTTTGTTCGATTTTATCGAATAATTGTCCAAGATCATAAGATTTTTCATCTTCTTTTTCCTCCTCTTCTTTCTTTTCTTTTTCTTCTCTTTCGCCTCTTTCTCTTTTACCCCTTCCATTTCTTATCTCATTTGCTTTGACTGTTTCTTCGTCTTTTCGTTGTTGTTGTTGTTGTTGTTCTTCTTCTTCTTCTTCTTCTCCTTCTTCGTGTTCTTCCACCTCTTCTTCTTCTTCTTCGTCTTCTGCTGTTTCTACTTCCGCTTCTATGATCTCTTCGTTGATAACATCCAAACTATCGATAATACTGTTAATGTTATCAGTAAAATCACAAATCCATTCGGCGCTTTGTGAATTTAAAATCATGAGTGCATATTCATGATTACGTTGAATAGTAGACTTAATACAAATAAAATGTTCTACGACCCGTTTTATCATAAACAAAGGCATATAGTTTGTTCCTTTGGTAAGTTTAAACGGTGTACAGTCTCTTTCTCTTACAGTATCTATTACAAGTAAAATTTGTTCAGGCAAATTTATTCCTGGTAGATTACGAATCAATGTCTTATCCTCTTCGGACTGTGATGTTATGCGATCCGAAAGGAAACGCGGTGTACTATTATCCACGATACCACTCATTTTTCATGTTTTTATTTATATTGCTTTAGTAAATTTAATGAATTTTCATTTGTTACGTGTAATTGGTTCAAATATATTTGTAACGACGATCATCGGTTCTCCACTTTATTTACATATCCCTTTTCACGGCGTATATGATTAACGGTTTGAAAACATGTTATAGAGAGACAACTCTAGTTGGGAGCGAGACTACTGAAGATAGCCAAATTGCATGAAAATGATATGATCTCTCGTTGAACGGAGAATATGTATTATAAAGATACGTGATAGCTAATAACGAACAATTACTTCCGATATGTACTAACCCTTATTGAAGTAAAACATGATTTAAAAAATTTATCACGATAATGTAAAATGTAGAGTAATAGTTTATTGACTGTGTTCAGACAGTAGTACGAACAAAGCGATAGCAGCGCTATGTACTCGGTGGGAGATTTTACAATTCTTCGTCGCGGTAGTTTCCAGACCTGTATACTGGATACAATATACAACTGTGGTAATATACAACATTTTGAAATGAATATACATTGTCAATAGTTATATTTAAATATCTGGTCGATAAAATATGCTTGCTTTAAGAGATTACGGTAGCAGCGATGATAACAGCGAGCCAGAAAATGACAATGAAAATGCAACGAATCAGGTTAACCACGATATCGTTGCAAGTAGTACTCCTGTCGTTGAATCTTCTCTTTCTGTAGAGAAATTGAATGCGTCTATAAATGTACAAATTTGTTCAGCTCCGGAAGTAATACCAACGGTGAATATATTAAATAATATGTCCTTTAACTCTTAAGATAGAAACTCGCGTAACTACTATATTATGTTTATAGTCTTTACAACGTTTATTATGCGATTACATAAATACGACTATAAAATAATAATTAATTGCGTTTTCTCATTTTTCTATAATTAACGCTACATCTCGAGACGCTCGCAAAGTGATACTTTCTGAAAGTCGAAAATAGTCTTACGAACTGTTTGCGATAGTTATGTATTAAATAACTTTTTTTGATTAAAAGCTATAGAAATATTGATTTGACCACTGTGCTCCAGGGATCTGAATTATGCGTGAGACACGTAGATTCGACTTTACAAGAGGTTACGCACAATCCCAAATATGAGGAACTGTTTGCTCCGGACATTGGCCCTGAAAATCCTTTTAAAACGCAGCAACAACGTGCTGTAAAAAATATGCTTTCTGGATATGTAGAGAAAGCTCATATAAGTGAATTTCAATTTGAAAATCAGAGAAGAACTTTTGCGAGTTATGGTATACTTTGTACAATGTATCGTATACGCGTAATAAAATCTTTTGGTATTACGATAACTGTACGTTTGTTTATAGGATATGCTTTGGATCCGACTGTAGATGGTAGCGCGGAGGAAGGTAGAACGATAATTGGAGCGAAAGAAGCGGCGGAAGAATGTGGTGGCAAAACTGTATTTGAAAATACGACATTGCGACCCTCTGATAAAAGAAAAAGGCATAGGAATGATGATCCTGCAGATATCGAAGGGTTTTTAGGACCATGGGGTGGATACGTAGACGAAAAGCGAATTATCAAACCTACGGAAGAAGAAGCTGCTGAATTAGAAGAGATATTAGCCAAAAGAAACAGAAGAGGAAAACCGACGGAGGAAAAACCTCTCGAAGAAAAGACAGTGTTACATAGTGCGGTCACGATATTTAAATTAATGATATTTAAGCTTTCGAACCTAACAGAATTTATTCTACGAAAATATTTATGTTTTAGTCAAAGACAGTGTGGACTACCAAGGAAGGTCATTTTTGCATGCGCCTCAAGATGTTGGAGTTAATTTGAGATCAGAATCGCCACCCGATAGATGCTTCTTACCAAAGGCACAAATACATACGTGGGAAGGTCATACGAAAGGTATTTCGCAGATCAGATGGTTTCCGCGTACAGCCCATTTATTGCTTTCTTGTAGTATGGATTGCAGAGTAAAGGTGCGTAGTATTTGCGAATGTTAAAAAAATAAATATTACGAGAAGAAAGATATGTTTTAATTTAATGTTGATTACTATTTCAAGTATAGTTGTGGGAAGTGTATAAGGATAGGAGATGTATCAGAACTTATTATGGTCATCGTCAAGCTGTAAGGGATATAAGCTTTGATAACGATGGCCAAAGATTCTTGTCGGCCGGTTATGATCGTTACGTAAAGCTGTGGGATACAGAGACTGGTGCTTGTATTAGTCGATTTACGAGTAGAAAGATTCCATACTGCGTCAAATTTAATCCTGATTTAGATAAGCAACATCTGTTTGTAGCCGGAACTAGTGACAAGAAAATTATTTGCGTAAGTTGCTGCAAGATTCATTCGATACTCGTTAAATTTTAAGAATTTTTGGTTTCGTTGACTGCAACGTTCTTTTTTCTTTTTTTTTTTTTTTTTTTACAGTGGGACGTTCGTTCTGGCGAAATAACTCAAGAATATGATAGGCATTTAGGAGCTGTTAATACGATAACGTTCGTAGATGAAAATCGAAGATTCGTAACAACTTCGGACGACAAAAGTCTGCGAGTATGGGAGTGGTACGAATTTCTTTGATCGTCGTGGAAAGCATTTAAACCAGAGGAAAGTCTTTGAGTAGCGACGGTAGATACGGAGAAATAAGCTGAAGTGGACGATTATCTTGCCTACTTAACGAAATTCTTTCGCTTTCGTTCATTATTCTTTTAATGCTTTGTTATATTTAGATTAGCGACGATGATAGTCGAAGTATCTTGTACTACCATGAGAGATAAAATCGTTGCTAAAATGATTGGCTCTGGTTTGAGCTTTCAACGTAGCGTGTATTTCAATTCGGATAGAAATTAATTTTCTTTTTTTTTTCTTGTTACGTGTAGGGATATACCGGTCGATATGAAATATATTGCGGATCCTTCTATGCATTCTATGCCCGCGGTTACTCCTTCTCCGAATCAAAAATGGCTTGCGTGTCAAAGCATGGACAATAAGATTGTTATATTCTCAGCATTGAATAGATTTAAAATGAATCGCAAAAAAACATTTACGGGTCACATGGTTGCTGGTTACGCTTGCGGCTTGGACTTCTCTCCTGATATGAGGTGAAAAATTGCATTTACTTTGAAACTTCAAACGTATATATATATTTCATATTTATCGTATTGTCTTTTCTTTTCCCTTATCAATAGTTACCTCGTATCGGGTGACGCGGATGGAAAGTGTTATATTTGGGATTGGAAAACAACCAAATTGTATAAAAAATGGAAAGCTCATGACGGTGTATGTATCGATGTATTGTGGCATCCACACGAACCTTCGAGGCTAGCTACAGCTGGTTGGGATGGAAAAATAAAATATTGGGACTAAGTGTCAATTATATTTTTACAAAAAAGAAAAAAAGAAAGAAAAATAATATTTATATTTTATACGATGTGTACAGAAAGATTTATTTCGCGCAAAACTTTTCGATGACGATATTAGATGTACTTACAATTAGATGGACGGATGTAACGTAGTAAAGTTATTGAAAAATGTCAATGATTTATAATTATCATTCGCAATTTTAAAAGTATTGTGTCCAGAGAACAAATTGAATGTTATCGTTTTGCATTTTTAATTATTGTATTTTTTTCGGTAACAATTGATAACCATTGTTTTTACATTTAAATAACGATAACGAATGAAGTTCTTTTTTCTCATCGAGCAAGTATAAATTGAGCGAAAAATAAATCAGATTGCTTTTTACTTAAGAGAAAAAGAATGTTAACGACCGTTCTACGTATTATTTTGTTCATACTAGGATCACAAGTTACTAACTCTAGTTTCACGTGGCGGTGGCAAAAATCAATAACAGTACGCGTCATGATGTCTACCGTTTTCGTTTCGTGCGTCGTTGCAGATTTAATGTTTTCCGTGGTCATTGGTGTTTTTTCGACGAATATCTTGAATTTAAACGTTCGATCGATGAATGCTTAACAATATATTTACTTTTTAAGTTGTTTTAATTTACTATGAAAATCTAATTAATGCAAATGCTTTGAAACTGTGCGAAGATTCATTGAGACTTAGTGATAGATGGGAAGGTAAGGATATTTTATCTTCTGTACGTAAATGTGTACATATGTATATTTTTCGAAGTTTCATAGTTTACAATTGTATAAATGATTTGATACGAAAAATTATTCTGATGTAAATGTACGCTTAATGTTTATGATAAGCACGTGGTTCGAGTACGTTGTACATTGAATAATGATTGTTTCAATTTAGTTCGAGAAAAAGAAAATGTAGAGACATTTTATGTACATGTATATTTTCTTTTTGTATTGTTGAATTTAGCATAACCATGGTTTTATCATAAAAAATGACAAAAGGATTGTGTATGAATTGTTTTATGTGTTTATCGCGGGAGCATAAACTGTTTCTCTGTCTTTATTTTTAATAAAATAATGAGAAAGATAACTTACGTCGATCCATAATGTAACAGATTCAACGTAAAAATGGATGGTCCTGGATTAGGATATTCGTATCATCTTCCTTCTGCAGGGTGGAATCTTAGAGTAAGAAATGTTTTATCCCAGTTTAGCGATCTCTTCAGTGAATTTAATAAATACATTGCACCTGCTTATCATCACGATCGATGCGAAAGGTATTTAGCATATCTAACAACGATGTGTATAATAATTTATAAATTAATAACGAAAGTATTACTTTGTTTTTGCAGATCAGTGCAGATGCGATTATATTCTATGCATAAGAGAGAATTCGTCATGGTGTTTGTTGCTTTTTTTGCATGTTTTGGATTAGCGGTATTCATTGGGCTCGCGGGTAAGCACTGTACTCGAATATACTAGTTCTATTTTATCAATGAATACTTGAACGATTAATGGTTGATTTTTTTTCCCCCCTTTTGATATAGGTCCTCCCATCACTTTGACCATTGACCAAGAAGCTCACGTAAATGGCAGTGAGATCGCTACTGGTCCTTTTATTATGAAAACACCTTTGTTATCCACGTATAGTCAACAATTATGGGTCATCGCAAAATTACTCACATCTAATAACGATGGTATCGCAAACATAAAGAGTGGAAAGAATTTTGCTGACCGTTCATGGAATAGAAACTATAATTATTGTGTCTTGGTTATTTACAGATGAAAGATACGACAAAAGTTTTCAAATAAGTATCTCTATAGATGGTATTACTAGCGATCATAAACTTGTACCTATTTTGTCATCCGAAACTGGGCACAATAGGTACGAGGTTGAACATTGCATATTTTGTGTAATATTTATCTCGTTAATTTTTTATTTCCGCTTGATTCTAATTCAACCTGTCAAATTATTATTAGTATGCGTATGTATGTACATGGACGTGCATTTTTTCATTGTAGAACTAGACATTTAAGGTGCGAAAGACAAACTTGCGAAGAACTCGTAGTTGCTCATCTCGGATATCTCGATTACAGTTATTATATTATTACTGTTCGTTTTCACGGACTCGAAAGCTTCCATCAACGCTACGTCATACACAAACTCACATTCTACGTCAGTAAGCACTACCTGAAATAAAATGCAACGTTAAATAATTCAGCGGAATCAAAACAATCGTACTTGGTAATATTTTTACTAATTCACAGTACAGAAATTACAACCCGGCGTTCACGGAATTTGAAATTTGGTTTCGATTTATCTTCTTATTGACTGCATTCGGAGTTATGGTAAGGTTTAACCGTATTCTTTCGTATTAGTCGAAACAAAACGTTGTATCATATGAATTGTGTTAACTTTTTAGTGCTGGTTTGGACATTCTCTCCGAAAATATCCGTTGCACGACTGGTCGATAGAACAGAAATGGATCTCGATACTTCTTCCGTTATTAATTCTATACAATAGTAAGATTTTATAGTTTATTAAAGATCTAATTTTTTTAATTTTTTCATCAAATGTTAATTTGTTTCTCTGTTTCTCTCTCTATCTGTCTCTCCTTCTTTTTGTCTCTCTCTCTCTCTCTCTTGCTCTCTCTATTTCACGCGCTTTCTCTGTTTCTCTCTCTCTCTATTCTTTTAGATCCGTTGTTCCCAATGACATTTTTGGTCAACTCTTGGGTGCCTGGTATGGTAGATGCAATTTTACAAACAACGTTCCTTTGTGCAGTTCTCATGTTTTGGTTATGCGTTTACCATGGTCTAAGACAAGTATGATTTTTTGTTAATTTAAATGTGATTTAACGTCGATACAATCATGTTCAACTACTTGTAAAACTGATGTGCCGTATACTCCGACAGAATGAAAGACGACTGATAACGTTTTATCTACCGAAAGTTTTGGTAGTAGGATTGCTATGGTGTTCAGCGCTTATTCTGGCGACTTGGCTTCGCTGCACAGAATTAGAAGATCCCACATATAATTACGTTCTCGATACGTCGAATTATTTCGTAAGTAACAGAGAACCATAAAACGGTCAGTTACGTTTAATATGCAAGATATTCAATTAAGGACAAAAACTTTGACGATTACAGGGTTTCAAAGCATTTTTCTTCACGGTAGGAGGATTTTATATCGCATATTTGCTTCTTCTGATATTGAGAGCGTACAGTGAATTGAGATCTATGCCGTATTTTGGTATGATAAACAAACTTGTTTACAGATGTTTCCAATGTACATATATTGTTTTTTTTTTCCTTTGTTTCAATCTTTTACAGTACATCATTTTTTATAGATCTTCGTTTGCGTTTCTTAACATTACTGGCTAGTGTTGTTTCCTTGGTTTGTGGCTGTGTGACTGCTCGTCAATTCGGAGCTGGTATTTTCGAGGATAGTTTTGCTTCTCGTCTAAGTACTTATTACCATTCATCTGCTCAATTTATGACCTTGTATGGTCTTCTGAATTTTTACTTGTATACTATGGCTTACGTGTATGCACCTGCACATCAACAAGTCTACGGTCAACGTAAGTACTATATATGAATTTACGTATTTTTACGTATTTCATTAACAACGAATCTTCTCACGATCGATACCAGATTCCTCCATAACAAAAGACAACCCTGCATTTTCTATGATCAACGATTCCGATGAGGACGTAATATATGGATCGGACGAAGAAGTGGTTTACGGTTCGGACGAAGATAGCAGACGGCCTTTAACTCGCGCGTCTCGAATTACGAGTGATAGTAATTAGTTAAACTAACTATTGTTAATAAGAAAAGAAAAATCATTTGCAAAACGAATAATATAATAATTATGATAATAATAATTATGTAAGATAAGAGAATTGCAAGTAATGATATATTGTAAAATAAAAGATGCCAAGGCGATCAAGTGATTGCAAGCGAAACCGAAGAAAATTTAATTCCTTATTTATATTTACTAGCGGCAAACGGTGAGGATCTGATGTTTACGAGCAATATGTAAATCGAACTTTTTTTGATCGTTACTTCGCGCATTCTCACGCTTTTACCTCTTTCAAATTATTTGATTTTTTTTATTTCGTTATTCATTAAAAATGTCATGTTAAGAAAAAATTTCGCTAATAACTCAAAAAACGAAGTCTTGTCCAATATTTCCGCGAAGGACAAATTTGTTTAAAATCATCTTAGCTACCATTCCTTTCTGGTTCTTACGCTAATTCTACAGACTGGTAGGAAAATCAAAGCATTATTCGACGTTTGAGACAACCGTGACTCGAAAATCGAAGATCGAAACTCGAAACTCAAAAGTTCGATAGCTCGAAGGTCAGTACGTATGAACGTGTTGATGCGTCTACAGTCTACAGTACAACTAGAGAAGAGGAAAGATCGTTCGACGTTATTTTCGAATTAAGGTATTAGTTTCTTACCATATGACACAATGTCGTGTAATTTTTTGGTTTAATAGCGTATAATATTGTTAGAAAACACAGCATCATTCGTTTAAAGTTTAAAGCATTGCGTCGATTTTAAATCGTGATTGTTAAAAGGTTAGAACGAATGTTTAGAAATATTGTTAACTTTCATTATTATCGAACATACATGTCGCTTGATATATAATGTTAAATTTAAATACAAATAGTTCACTTGTACGTGTGTTAAATAATATCCATTCTTTTTAGACAACAGTGATATCAACGAGATTCTTTTCAGACGAGCAGATTTATAAAAAGATGCCGAAATCGAAGGAATACGTGTTATCTTCCGATGACGATAGCAGCGAAAACGAGGTATCTGATTTTTCGCAGAACATATCGTAGCGTATATGATGCAAAGTATCGACATTGACGCGGGTGCAGACACATCGATACGAACATGTAACGAACAGGTTATTTTGTTTTACAAGGAAGTGAAATCGAAGAGGAAGCAAAAGAGGGAAATCGACGATACCGGCGAGAAGACATCGAAAAAGTCCAAACGAGAATCGAGCGAAAACCAGGATTATACTTGGGATTTAGGGAACAATCGCCAAGTCACTGTGAGGGACTTTAAGGGGAAAATATACGTTGACATCAGAGAAATGTATTTCGATAAAGATGGAAACTTAAAACCAGGAAAGAAAGGTATTGATACTCTTTTTTTCGTTAAACGAAAGATGGTTAAATAAGAAATAAGTGAAAAAAATGTTTTTACTACACAGGTATTTGCTTGAGCGTGGCGCAATGGCGGAAATTATCGGCCGTTATCGAAGACGTGGACAAAGCGGTACATTCGAAATCTTGAAATACTCATTTATTACTTAAAAATACTTATTTTCTAATGTATGTTTTCTTTCGTATCGTTTCTAAATACGCCAATGCTCCGTTTATCCGAACCGATCGAGGTGGTGAGAAAAGACGGTTTAAATACAATAAAAATACTATATAAGCGAATCTCTCGGATCTGTACTGTTGCTTATATCGTATAGGTTATGTTCGCTTATATCAAATTGTTACTGTAATAGAATAATTCGAATAATTAGAAAGACAGCCTGTAAGGCCTGACGAATCGTCTAGCCTACTGTGGACATACTTTGTACTAAGGCTTCGTTGACAATTGTCCAATCAATATACATACAGTCGATTAGAGCCTCGACTACAGGCGTAAAAATTCGAATATTCGTATTTTCTTCAGAGCTCTAATCTCGACCGTAATTCGGATAACGACAGCTCGATATACGTATATATAAGTTTCATCTGTAAAACGTTACGTGTCAATTCGTTTTGCCCGTATTGCGAGGTATTTATAATAAAATTACTTTTCATCCAAACAAGCGTGTTTACGAGTTTACGTTATAAGTGAAAAGAAAAACAGCCTGAAAGATACAAAGGCAACAAAATTATCAAGTATCGAGCTTAATGGCGCATGATAATACATTTGAAAATATTTGAAACGATAAACGTAATAACAATCTTGTATGTTTATTTCTAAACAAGTACGACAAGTATGTCAGAACATCCGCGTAAATCATTATACGCGCGCAAATAAGATCAGTTAATTAGAATGACGTTTAAGCTGGTCCATGTACAGACGTTAAGAATTTATCTAAATCCAAGTTATTCAATAATGTCTGAGGATCGGTTAGATGTTGCCGTTTCTCGATCTAAAAGAAACCATAAAAACACGTTGTATTTTCGTTGAACGTCCGTTTAAAAATAATCGAACAAATCTAATTGGTTACCAACCTGCTTACTTTCTTTAGAATCCGTAAACATAGACTTTTGATGTTTTACAATCGGGACATCTAAAATCATAATACATAATGTATTAAAATGTATAAAGAACATATCGATGGATAGCGGTTTCGGTAATAAATATGTAATTACCTTTGATAATTTCTGGAGTTTTTTCTATTTTCGCACGCTTGTCGTTCTCACGTTGAATAATCTTGTCTCTTTCGGTGATCGTACAAGTTCCAGCAGTAATATCAGTATCGGTGATGATAGTGGTGGTGGCAATAGCGGTGGCGGTGGTGGTGGTGGTGGTGGTGACGGTACCGGTAATGGTGGTAATTGCAGTAGCGGTAGCAGTGATTATGGAGGTAACAGTGGCAGCAAGATTGTTCGTTTTCGAGAATAACGGCTTGTCGATAGGAGACGAAGTGGCGAGTGGTTTAGCGCGTATACTAGTTACGGTTGAAGCATCGACGGACGTTCGATCGAATATTTCACGATGATTTTCGTTCCTAAAGGGCGACTTTCTACTCGGTAATTTCTTTTTCGATTTCGGCGGTATATTAAATATTTCTTCGTAATCTGTGGCTGTCCATACTTTAACGCATTCGTCGTTATTTTGATCATTTAAAACTATATTAATTTGAAATTCGTGGGCGCTGTATCTTCGTCTTCTTTTTTTCAACGAAGCACCATCGTCGTAGAGAAAATGATACTCTACCGAGTTCGGTAGGGCCACGTTGAAATCCGTTTTACGATTACCCTCGTGCTCCTTTGGTTCGAGTTTGTCCGGGTGATCGGTTTTGCATGCAGGAACAAGTTGCAAACATTGAAGAACATGCGATAAATCTTTAGTATTCGATAGATCGGACTCGTTCCTAGACTCGTTCTGGTTAAGCGAGAACTTCGTTTCGCGATCGTTCTCTTCGTCGCTAAATAAATCTCGTTTTACCTGATCGACTTTCGACTTAGATACGGCATTCGTTTTACCACTACGATTCGGATATTCCATTGCTTGATATGCATTTGCTTCGTTACGAGTTTTCTCGTTTTTTATCGCAACAACGCCGTTATTTCTCGAAATCGTTTCATCGTTCGTCTTACTCGACAAGATTTTACGATCAAGATTACGTTCTTTCAGGATTCGCGTATAATTCTCTTCGGTATTGATGCCGACAAAATTATCAAATTTTTCCGTCGCTTCCAATTTCCTAGCATCTTTATTATCCGTTAATGAACTGTTCGATCGTTCATTATGAATGGCAACTTTTTTCTTTTCCTCAATGTCGTTGTTATCATTCTCTGCAGTTGTATGGATAGCTTTTTTCGCGTCATCTCGTTGAGTCGCGATCCGATCGTCGTCTTCTTTTCGATCAGCGCTCCCTTTAAATTCTACTACGTTCGAATGTCTTACGCTCGTACCACCGGCATCGCGAGTATCGTCGTCGCTGCAGCTCCTAACGTTGTTGTTGTTGTTTTGGTTGTGAACAGCGGCATCGATATCGTTATGGTTATTGTTCTCGGTATCGAACCCCTCGATCTTCTTCTTTTTCCTTTTCTTCTTTCGTTTACTATCATTAAACGGATCATCGGTTTTTCGGATACACGCGTTTCGATCGTTTTTTCGTTTTACGTTAATGTTATTTTGACCCCTACGAATAATCCGTTTCCGTCGAGTCGTTGTTCTACCGGTAAGACTAGAATTTGGAAGTTCTCGAAACTTTGCGATCATACGTTGACGCTTCGCTTCTAATTGAACAATTAATTTCTCGTCTATGCCCAGACACTTTTGTCGTTGCTGTTTTTGTTGTTTTTGTAACGAAGAAAATTGTTTGACCGATTTTGCGGATTTAACGATTCGCTGCGCGTTTACTACTTTTGTCTTTCGCTTGTAGTTTATCGTCGTAGAATTTCCTATGTAGGAATCTTTCTTCTGACTCTCCGAATCAATGAACGCGGATATTTTCGAGGACAAATTAGTCAAGTTTTCTACGCCAGCCTTAGAACTGCTAGGAGTCTCGGAAATATCCGCTTCGTTGATTAAAATCTCATTTTTGGCTGGAGTTTCTTTCGCGTCGTTTCGCGATTCCCCCAGCTCTTCCGTTCCTTCGTTTTCGCTTGCCATTACTGGAAACACTTTTAACGGCGAAGATTCGCATTTTCTCGAAACGATGGTTGCTTCCTCGGTAGGATTAACGTGCGACACGTTCGTTGATCTGATCGTTAATTTCGTTGAAGTATTTCCTGAAGTTACCGAATATTCCGTATTCGTAGTTTCTTTCACGCGCATACCGATGATTTTGCGCGTCGAACTGTCGTGACTCGTTTTGGTGGAAATTTCTTTCGAAATGTTTTTATATTTTTTGTTCGACGATGATTTCTCCGAGGTGTTCGTTACCCTGGAATTCGGGAAACCGGACGAGGGTGATAACGACGACGGTGATGACGACGCTGACGAAGACGACGACGACGACGACGAGGAAGACGACGATGACGACGAAGATGACGAGGATGAGGAAGAAGAGGACGAGGACGAAGCATCGCTGTCGTTCGATTCTTCGCCATTGAGCAAATATTTTTCGTTGCCGGTTATTTTCGTGGAACGCTCGTCCGCTTGGATACGTTCTGTTTTATCTGTACACTCCGAAACTTCGTTTTTTAAGCGATGATCGGCTTTCTTACATTTTGTCCGATGAATTGACGCTGTCGTTGAAATCGAATCTCGAGAATTGGCTGATATTTTAAGCTCTCTGATCGCTTGTTCTTTAGGTAAATTTTCTTTGATCACTTCGAACTGCGTTATTTCTAATTTCGGGGGAAACTGCGTTCCGAGCGCGACAACGAGATCACGAGGTTTCACGCACTGCGGAGACTTTTGCGAACCTTTCGTCAATTTTGGTTTCGATAATTTTTCTGAATGTTCGTTTTCTTCGAAAGTGGGTTTGTAATAGGGTGAACAGCGATCGAAAGTTTCTTTCTTCGGGTCATCGGTCATCGTTTCTTCCAAGTGTTTCGGAGTTAAAGCTATACAAGGTGTTGTTGGAAATTCCGGAGTGTTTATAATATTACGTATTTTGTTCGAGTCTTCGTTCATTTTAACGAACGGAGTTGTACTGCTGCTAGGGCTAAGTAATCTAGGCGTTGGTGGAACATCATAATTCTCTAATTTCCTTGGAGTTTCCAGTTCGATCAAATTAGGTATTTCTAATAATTGTCGGGAAACGTCTGTGCATGTTTTTGTCAATTCCAAGAATCGTGCATCATCCATCGACGTTACGTTATTTTCCGCGTTACATCTATTCAGATTCGTTTTTAACGTTGTCAACTGAACATACTTTTTTGCTTCTCTCTTTTCAATTTTCGAATCATCGACTGCTCTTGTCGTTGTCGTTATTGTCGTCGAAGTCGTCATAGTCGTCGTCGTCGTTGTTGTTCTTGTTCTTGTTGTTGCTGTTATCGTTTCTATTGCAGCCGTACTGTTGGCCGTTGTTCTTATCGCCGTTGAATCGGATTTACCCTTTTGCAAGTTAAATAACTTATCCCGTGCGGAAAGATCGTTCGTTTTCGTATCATCGGTGTCAACATCAACGTCAATCGTATCGGTCCGATCAACGGGCGTAATCGACAAATTTTCATCCGTTAACAACGCAACGTTATTTCGTATTTCTTCCATCGATAGTTTTGTTATTTTTCGCTCTTCTTCTTCGACCGTTTGTTTTTTCTTCGAATCGATGACTGCCTCTTTTCTTGAGGTGTTTCTACCAATTTTCCCTTTCGATGATACTCGCGATTTCCATTTTTCCTTCTTTGAAGCCAGGCTCTTATCTCGTTTCGCGTATTCTGCCGTTTGTCCAACCTTGGACGATACGCTTGTTCCCCGACGATCGTTCTCCGCGCTCGTTGCTCGTAAACATTTTCGCAAGTCCGCGTCCCATGTATTCTTCGTGGCTTTCGTTGATTTTAATTCGGGTTCGGAGGAAATGCTCGCATCGGTCTCGCGTGTACGAACATCGTCGGTTAAAGCTCCGCTTTCCTCAGATTTTTCCCAAACGTTTGTAACCTTCGACAGAGAATGTTTCGTCGTAGCTTCGCTTACTTTATACGAAGGCTGACTTGCTTTTAACGGACATATTGCGGTATCGTGCATCGCCATCGCGCAATCGGAAAACGGCGGAGATTTGAACAGACAAGTCCTACGCACGGCTTTAAGCTGTTTCGAGGCATTTTCGTTGTCGCTAATTGTACCATCGATGGCACCGGTAGCTGTGATCGTAGCTGTTGCCGCCGATGCAGACGCTACCTTTGTCGGTGTATTAAAATCAAGAACTCTTATATGATTATTTCTCCGTCTAGGCGTAGATAAACTAAGTCTATAATTTTTTGTTCTGCTTTTCAACAAGGACCTCGGAGTGCGTTTGTTAATGATGCCGCGTTCGCCAACACTGTTGCGCGCTGAAGGTTGTTGCCCGATAATGATATCGTTTTTTACCGAAGCTACGACTTTTTCGCTAGTTTGTACAACGGGTGTCAAGTCGATGTCTGATAAACTTTGGTTTTCGTTGTTCTTGCTACAATTAAATTTTATGTATGGCGATAGTCCAGAGCCTGACAAACTAACGTTATCCTCTATGTTTATCGTAGGCATATTCGAACTATCCAGTAACGTTTTCGCGCTATTTTCGTTGCTGTAGAGGGTGATCGATTCTCCGATTACTATTTTATTAGCGTCATCGTTGCCCAAAACGGCCGAACTCGTGACCGAACTACCCACCACGTTGCTAACGGTCCGAGTCGGCGTACCTTTTGTTTCGTTGGTTGCTGTTTTATCTTGTTTATCGACTACTTGTTGCGTTCCACGTTGCGTCAACGATGTTAACGATGTCAGTGGTGTGAACGGTGCGAACGATGTGAATGGAGCGAAAGGTGTGAACGGTGTTATCGGAGCCAATGTTGTCAACGATGTCGACAACGTTGATGCAGGTACTTTTCGAGCAACGTTTACGGTTTTTAAATACAGCGTTTCCACAACATCTTCTTTGCCGATTTTATTTGTTGGACCTTTTGGAACGATTGGTACGAATCGCGAATTTCTGCCGGACGTTATGGAACGCGCAGCTGGATACGCCATACTTGTACACATTATATTGCTTATTTCTTCTTTTGAACACATTATTAACGTCGGCACCGTTGTTATATCTAGATGCTCGGATTTATTGCTGTTCGCGCTGTTCATCGTTTCCTCCTTAGATTTTACTGGCTTGCCTTTCTTTACCGATAATTTTTTCGCCTTTGACTCGGCCGTATCGTTATTTCCGATTGTCGCTACAGTCTTGTAATCTTGAGCACCACGCCGGCTCTCGACTTTCGTCGATTTTTCTTTTTCTCCTTCTCTACTTTCCTCGGGACAAACTTCAAACCTCGACGATTTTTCGGACAAACTTCCGATCTCGACGGTCTTCTTTTCGTCCGTATCCACGGATGCGCTACGAACTTCTTTCCTGTTATCTGTGCTTTTCTCGTCATACATCGTTGTACATTTATTTGTAATATTTGCGTTTATTATACTCAATACCGCGGCAGCATTCTGATCTTCCAACGCGTTATCTTCTTTCCCTTGATCCCGTTGATCTTCTTCGATCCGAGCATTATGTTGCCTGGACGAACTACGTAGTCTGTGCTTTAACGGTACTTCCGTCGTACGTGCATCTGTCTCGTCGGATAATTTTATATCCGACGTTACAGATTCTACTGACCCGTTATTCGTCCAACAAATTTCAACATGTTTCTCTTCCAATTCATTCGTGGTTAATTTCGGTTTCTGTCTATTGGATTCCATCTCTTCGTCAGGACTCGTGTCCGTTTCTATTTGCGATCCGATCATTTCGTCGAGAAATTTTTCGAATACGGGATCGGACTCCGTTGCCTCCACTATTGACTTAATTGCGTTATTTAGCTCCGATACGATAGAAGTGTTCGCTTCGCTGTTCATTGGCGCATCGTTTAAATGCTCTTCTTTCGATGATGCGTCCGTTGGAAGTATCGCTTTGTTGATGTTCTCAGCAATTCGTTCTTGTAACTCGGTACGATTCAATAGCTCTTTCGTCAGTAACTTATTACGACAATAACAGTTTATTAGTTAATTTGTGAACTAATAAGAAAAAAAAATTAAATGAATATTAGCACTTACACTAAGATTTTCAATTGGTTCGTCGTTAGTTTCTGATTCGGATTCCGGTGTATCGTATGGAGTAGTTTGAACTTCTACACACGAATAACTCAGTAACTCTTCCGTACTTGTAGCCGCAGTACATTTTTCAAACACGAACGAATCTTTTGCATCGTTTAATTTGCATCTGTTATCTGTTACGGCGTCTTCGAAGTTTTGCGTTTCTTGATTAATGCCTAATACAAATATTTTCCCTTAATTCTGTACTCTATATTCGTAATTTTATAATTTATATGTATACATATACATCAATGAATATGTATTATTATTATTATTATTATTATATATGTACCATGATTATTGTTACTATGCCTGTCGCTATTGCTATTATTTTGGTGGTTATTGCAGCCTTCATTTCCATTGTCTCCTACAGAGTTATGACGATTTTTCTCTTCAACGTTAATGGTACATTTAAATTGATCACTCGTGCCTATGTGACCAGGTAAACTTTCTAACGGTGTTGCCTCGATGCTGTTATAATTGTTTGCTATGAAAGAAAAAAAACGGATTACGATCAAAAATTTTTAAATAAACATAAATACTTTAAATACTGTAAACTTATAATATTCTTAACGATCATCTACCGTGACTAGTGATAGAATCAGTCTGCTGAGATGTATTTGCCATTACTTTCGTGCGCTTGCATCGTTCGCGATCACTGTTACTGTGGCGTCTTTTACGAATACTGCTAGATAGTATAGGGGAGCCATTTGATACTTGAGAGTTAGCCTGTACATGTATAAATACCATATAAATATATTATAATGTACCATACCCAACACTGCACTGATACTAATGATAATGTTTTAATGATTGTTTATTCTGTATACCTGTGAAGGAACATTTATATTAACGACGAAACGTTGCCCACGAGTTTCTTCTATAAGAAACTTCAATTGTTCCAGTAAATCTCCACAATGTTTTGATTGTTCGCAATCTGTAATTTTGCTTAGCCGTTCTTGGACTGTAAAAATATCATATATTTCTTTAGATAAAGTTTCGAGATAGCTAAGTATCATAGAAAAATAGATAGAATCTTATTGTACTAATGTATATAGCTATGAATCGAGCTGTAAAATCCTACTTGTCGCGTTAATAGCAAAAAACTTTTCGATAACGTCGATCAGTGTCATTCCACTGACTCTTGTGCTAAATCGTCTCCCATTAGATATTACGGTACGACATTCTTGTAAATGTGGACAGGTCTCCAAAAATACTTTCGCAGCTTCCAGACAACTTTGGCCTTCTAGATATCCTGAAACCAATTTTATTTCTATTACTGCAAAATCTACTACAAAAAGATTGAACAAAGAACGATTATCATTGTATGCTCTCTTTAATATAATGCTCGGAATTAATTTATTTATTCACCAATTTTTTTATTCATTAATTTATGTCACTTTAAACTTTTAGTTTATTCAAGTCGATTCGTTCGAGTAATATACAACAGTGTTGCGAATATCAAACTGCGTACCAACAAGTGCTTTTATCGTTTTCCGTGCTATGATCGGAATAAAATATTCACATTCCCGCCATACAACAGGTTATTATTATTAGAAATATAATACTTCAAATATACGTATCGTGTCACTCTTACCAAGAACTAATCTAGCTATTTCCGATGGTAATAGTGTTTCCATAATGTTTATTGATCTTTAAATTTTAATCGTATCATTGAACATTCATTACGAACTCTGGAAACAACTGAAGCAAATATACACTTTCAAACTCAGTTCAATAAAACGAATTTTTGATAATCTCAAAAGAGTAACATACCTTCTATCGTACAATTTTACCAACTTAAAAAATTATAGTATTCTCTATACAGTTTTTTACCCTGCTTAGTGACTTTGATACGATATTAGCAGACATATGTGTACATATAATAGCTACAAACTTCTTCGACTACATTTACCGAAATATTTATTTATTTCTATTTATATGTAAAAGGTCCATCGAAATTCGTCGTCCATATTTCCGCATGTGTGTCTCGTATAGCCAGTAAAACATTCGTCAAAATTGTTAAATAGTGCTAGATATTGTTTAATGATTATCTAATCATATATTAGTGTTTGTTTTTCTCATTGTCGAAAATATTCTAAAGCAAACGACTTTATAATTAGTTTCTATTATTCTTTAATATTGTTTATTATAATTATTTATGATTTCATATCATAATGAACAACTATATTAATTAGACATTTAAGACAGTCATGTAGATTTTAAAAGAAGTTTTTGGTATTATATTTGTGTAATAGTATTTTATTTTCAGATTTGTAAACAATGGGAAGTTGGCAATTAGAAGTCGGACGAATGATGATGTATATATTATTTCCAATCGGAATTTATTATTACTTCAATCAAACAGAAAATATTGAACAGTGGATAATTAACGAGAAGAAAAAATACAGAACTACGAGTAAAAAGCATTATGAAGAATTTTTAGAATTTATTGATAATTGTAATAGTAAGAAACAAAAGAAACAAATCGAAGAAATGGAAGCTAAATATAAGATGAATTCATAATAAATTTAGAAGTATTTAGCGTACAATCAATTTTTCAATTTTTTATTTGATCATAACGAACAGTCAAATTAACCCATTTAAAAGATTTATTGCTATTCTGTACGCAATCATTTTTAGCAGCTTTTAATTATGGAATATTTTCAAAAACATATGTCACCAATAAACAATTTTATCAGATAAAGGTAACAAAGACTACAATGTGTATAACGTTATTTTTGTATAGTTTAATAAATCATATGCAGTAATTTAAATAAATTGTTTCAAGAAAATAAAATATTTTATGTCTTATTATTAGTTATGAATGTATGCGATATATACATTTTTGTATCATTTGTCGCGCAAAAGAATATTGTATAACATCTCGTAAGTGCTTGACAGCTTCTTAGATTATTTAGAATTTGAAACCCGTATATATGCAACTTGCTTTTTCTTTCATGGATCCCGCTGTTACAGCATCCTTGTATTAACACGTATTGTGCCAAATTCGCAAGAATCAATAAATAACAATATTTTTTCAAATAAGTACTTAAACTTTAAAAGAAAGCTGATTCGTTCTGTAATAAAATAATGAACAGCAATTTTCCATTTCTATCAGATAGGAAGCGTGGGTATCGGGAGAACAGCGCCTCTCGTGTTCTTGTGAAAAAGAAGACTACAACATATTGTAAAAGATGTAAAATACATTACAATCATTCTAGAATCTAGTGTAAATTGTTCTATCATGCTGGATACGTTTATCGCAAGAGTGAAGCTTGCAATTAATTACATATCCCTATAGTAATGTAGCGGATGTTCATTGATTTATGAAGAAAGACACACTGGATAATTTCTTTTTACTTCTTTTTACAACTCACGAGATCGTTCTATGTGAACCGTATTTCTATGAACTTAATGCGTGACAGTATGTCACTTTACGTGTGATATCAACCTTATTAACTAAACCTAGTTCCCAACCGAATCAGACTGAAGTAGTGTCGATTTATGTTCGTTCTAACGTTGAACGAAGTATATACATGGCTATTTGTTTCTAAAAAACAAAAAAAAAAAACATATTACAATCGTTATCCTGTTTAAAAACAATACAAGAATTGCGAGAATAATTATTGAAACAAAAAAATGAAAAGAAAAAATTGTTGTTGATTATAAGTGATCAAACAAATTGAAATAATTCATAATATTTATCAATTATATTGAAGTGTATGAAATTTTAAGATAATACTTATATTACATATATTAACTTGTGCACAAAATAACGATAACAAACATATAAAAAACTTATATTTTTATTTGTTTATAAATTTCAGGCAGTGTCCTATACGGTAGAATAAATTCTTTGTTACTATATGAATATAAAATGCATGAAAGCATAGATGACATATGTAAAGCAATTGATGAAAATTTGCTGCGTAACCTAGAACTGATGGAAGAAAAGATCAAGACTAATGTTCAAATGGAAAATATATTACGTGATGGTTACATTGAATTAGCTAAAGCTAAGTATATACGTGGCAAAGAAAGTATAAGTATATTACAAGTTCCTGCCGATGATGAAAAAGTAGCTACATTATTTGAATTAGAAACAAAATTAACTGAAGAAACTGGCAAAATAATTCCAAATTTCGATATAAGTTTAAAGAGAACAGACAAAAATATAGATGATATTCAGGATCCCATAAAATGGTTTGGAGTGCTAGTCCCTCAAAGTTTACGAATTGCTCAAAAACGTTTCCAAGAATCTCTGTATCTTGCTGTAAGAGCAGCAAATTTACAAGCAGAAATTACTTCTGTATTAGACAAATTACAATCTTTATACTTCTTAAAACATGATTCGTGTCCAGAATATGTCAATAAAAATTAAAAATTTTTATATTTGATTCATTCAATCTGTATAACCTTGTTGCATAAAATTTATATTTTTTGTTGTCTTAAAATACTTCGGTTGTAAATTATTCGAAAGCATATTATATAACTTTAATTTATATAAACAAATTTCATGGAAAATAAAAGAAATTATACATGAACTTATAGAATAACCAATACGATTTCAACTTTCCCTTCATTCCTATGTAGATTCTCTGATATTGGTCAGTTATAGTTACTTACTAGACTCAAATAAATTGTTGGCCTGACTGAAAATAGTTCCGATTTAAGAGAAATTCCCGCCACTTCTTATTTTCAGTTTACGAAATACAGAGTAGTAGCAACAAGTTTTATTTGAAGTTTGTAATTTATATTTTTGTTTTATTGCCTTTACACTTTTGTACCTTAGCAAAATGGTAAGATAATAAATACGTTAAGATGTAAAATGTCCAATTTTTAAAAAATATTATATATATGTTTCGTAATAAAAGTCTTAGTTTAATGTTTTATAATATGTTAGTAAGATTACATCTTAAATCTCATAATTTACACTATTTTATAATATTACTTAGGATTCTAGCAGTTCTCCAGCACGTTCTGAAAGACATGCAGAAGCAATGACATCTCCTGCCCCAGAAATAGATGAACCATTTGAAAATGAAGCTGATTTGCTTGGTACTGACAATGATCTTCGTGAAGAGGAAGAAGAAGGAGAAGAATTGTTTGGAGATAACATGGAAGAGTAAAATTTGCTGTATATTTAATTGTAGTTATAAAGAAACAGAACATATTTCATAATTATTTGTTAAAATTCTAGTGATTATCGTCCAATGCCAGCATTAGATAGATATGATCCAGATGTTGTGGATGACGAGGAATACTCAGAATTATCGCAGGGAGAGCGTGCTGCTGCTGAATCTGCTATGCGTAAAAGAGATAGGGCAGCTGGCATTATTAGAGATGACAGATATTTACTTTATGGTATTTCATTTTTTAAATATGTGATTAGTATATTTTATACAAACATAATAAAATACAATAGGTATATTTATATATTTAAGATGAGAGTGACGAAGAAGAAATACAGGCACGTAAACGACGTATGGCTGAAAAAGCAGCAACTGGCGAAATCGAGGATGTGGAAGCAAGTATTTTTTTCAGTCTTTGTTACATGCTGTATTTTGTTTTATTATAATAAATAATAACATTTGCTATTGTATTTTAGATGATTGAATCTATTGAAAATTTAGAAGATACCAAAGGTCATTCAGTTAAAGAGTGGGTGTCTATGTTGGGACCACGAACTGAAATTTCTAATCGTTTTAAAAGTTTTCTGCGTACCCATACCAATTCCAAGGGACAATATATGTATAAAGAACGAATTCGTCACATGTGTGAGAGCAATCAAGTACTGGTTTCTTGCTATTAATTACAATTAGTTATGAAATAATATTAGGTTGCAAAATATATGTTTTATTTGTTAACAGTCTAGTTTTGTTGTGGAGTTTCCTATTCTTGCGAGCAAAGAACATGTTTTAGCTTATTTTTTGCCGGAAGCACCATTTCAAATGTTGGAAATATTTGATGAGGTAGCAAAGGAATTAGTATTAACTATTTTCCCCAGTTACGAAAGAGTTACAAGTGAAATTCATGTTAGAATATCAGAACTGCCGTTGATAGAAGAAATTCGTACATTTAGGTAAATAAACAGTTAATATTTTTATAAAGCTGCAGCAAAGAAAATATTAACATAATTTACTGTGAACATAGGAAACTCCATTTGAATCAATTAGTACGTACTTTAGGAGTTGTTACTGCAACTACAGGGGTATTACCACAATTATCTGTTGTGAAGTATGATTGTACAAAGTGTGGATACATACTTGGCCCTTTTGTACAAAATCAAAATAGCGAAGTTAAGCCAGGATCGTGTCCTGAATGTCAAAGTGTTGGACCTTTTATGGTAAGTTTAGATATTGTAATCCTTTAATTCGCCAATGAAATGAGCATATTACAAATATGTTAAGATTAATTTTAGATTAATATGGAACAAACAATATATAGAAATTATCAAAAAATTACAATCCAAGAATCACCAGGTAAAATTCCTGCAGGAAGAATACCTCGAAGCAAAGACTGTATTCTTTTATCAGATTTGTGTGACCGTTGTAAACCAGGAGATGAAGTTGATGTTACAGCCATTTATACAAATAGTTACGATGGTTCATTAAATACAGAACAGGTAATAAAATAACATTAATAAACTATACGTTAAAATATATTTAACTAATTAGTGGGTACTTTGTTTCTATATATATATTAGGGTTTTCCAGTATTTGCAACAGTCCTGCTAGCTAATCATCTACAAGTGAAAGATTCGAAAGAAATCGTGGAGTCTTTAACCGAGGAGGACATTTCGAGTATTATTGCTTTAAGTAAAGATCATCGAATTGCCGATCGCATTGTTGCAAGTATTGCGCCTTCAATTTATGGGCATGAATACACAAAAAGAGCTTTAGCCTTGGCAATATTTGGTGGAGAATCAAAAAATCCAGGTATTTTCTTCGTTTAATATTATTTTTATTGAATGTTTTGTTTTATAAACATAATAACATAATAAGTGTATTGGAATTAAACGTGTAGGAGATAAACATAAAGTAAGAGGCGATATCAACGTGTTACTATGCGGAGATCCAGGAACCGCTAAATCACAATTTTTAAAATATGTTGAAAAAATTGCACCAAGAGCAGTGTTTACCACAGGCCAAGGAGCTTCAGCTGTCGGGCTAACTGCGTTTGTGAGGAAATCACCCGCAACCCGAGAATGGACTTTGGAAGCTGGTGCATTGGTACTTGCAGACCATGGAGTTTGTCTAATTGATGAGTTTGATAAGGTATAATTATCTTTTTATATAAAAGACTTATACTATTAAAACAAAATATGTATGTATAATATATTAAGACGTGTATTTCTAAAGTCCTAGATTCCTGGATTCCCAGATTTCTGTATTTCTATACTTCTATATTCGTACGTAATCGATTTGATATAAAATGTAAATATTACCGTACTTTCAGATGAATGATCAAGATAGAACATCTATTCACGAAGCTATGGAACAACAAAGTATATCTATTTCAAAAGTAGGAATTGTTACGTCGCTTCATGCTAGATGCTCGGTTATAGCTGCGTCTAATCCTATTGGAGGAAGATATGATGCTAGTATGACGTTCTCAGAAAATGTAAGAGAAATCTTTCTAAGTAAAAACTTAGTTTGAATTTAAATATGATAAATAGAATATTATGTTTGATAACATTCATTTATTTCTTTGTTTAGGTAGATTTATCAGAACCTATTTTGTCTCGGTTTGATATCTTGTGCGTTGTAAAAGATGAAATAGATCCTATGCAAGATCGACATTTAGCTAAATTTGTGGTAAACTCCCACATTAAACATCATCCAACAAATGCAGGAAAAGTAATACCTACAGAAGAAAATGCAAATGATATTTCTATTCCGCAAGATCTTTTGAAAAAATATATAGTTTACGCGAGACAAAATGTTCATCCTAAATTGACGAATATTGATCAAGATAAAGTAGCTAAATTGTATAGCCAGTTAAGGCAAGAAAGTTTGGTAAGTTGAAAATACACAAACTATTGATATTTTCATTGTATATCATACAATTCTTATTTTAATAATTCATAGGCTACTGGAAGTTTGCCAATAACTGTACGACACATAGAAAGTATTATACGTATGGCAGAAGCGAGTGCTAAAATGCATCTAAGAGATCATGTTCAAGAAAGTGACGTGAATCTTGCCATTAGAATGATGCTCGATAGTTTTGTTGAAACTCAAAAGTATTCAGTAATGAGAAGCATGCGACAGGTATACATATCTATGTACAGTTTAATTGGAACAGTAAATATGCGTATAATAATTGAAATAACGGTTATAAATTTTATATTTTTCTTTTTAAGACATTCCAAAAGTATTTATCGTATCAGAAAGATCACAGCGAACTCTTATATTACATACTCAGACAGATTACATTAGATACTTTAGCATTTCAAAAAGCTTTACATGGAGGTCGTATTACAACAGTTGAAATTTCAGAAAAAGATCTATTGGACCGAGTATGTATAATTAACTTTAATCCATTATAAATTTTGCAAATTTCGTTTCATTATAAATTATCCTTTCATTTTAGGCTAAACAAATTGATATATACAATCTTCATCCATTTTATGAAAGTGATATTTTCAAAACAAATAATTTTGTTTATGATTCAAGGAGAAAAGTAATAATACAAACATTTCCGGAAAATATTGACGACTAATATAACAACATATCATCATAGATAAATAGACAAATGGTTATAATTTTATTTACATCATGATATGCAAACGTAATTTTTACATCAGATTATGCGTTGACGTAATAGTGTAATAAAAAATGTAATATTTATATTTGATATTAACAGTTTTATAAATAAATACTTGTGTTACGAAAGAATTCTATGGTAAAAAAGTGATATTTTATAAGTATCTAAATATATTAATAGGATATCGGTTTTGTAAGTAACAAAATTATATTATAAGCGCATTGTATAAATTATTATTTAAAATGTATTTTACACATAAGTACTTCGGTCACTTCGATTTTATACAAAAAAAAAAAGTATCATACATGTATTTATAGTATACTAGTGAATTAGCTGATAAATCTTTAAAAAATTGATATACCTATGTTTCAAGATTTCTGTTTTTTATTTAAGATTGTTCAAAGAGAATATCTTTGTGGCAGTAGAAAATCGTTATTTTACAAAGTAAACAAAAAATATATTTTAATTAAAACACTGTTTTACTTATATATAATATTAATATTATTAATATTAATAATATTATTAATATTATTTATTTTTAGAACGGTTACTACTATTACTACTACTAGTGCTACTACTGCTACCACTACTACTGCTGGAAACACTATCGCTAGAGTCAGATTCACTATCCGATGATGAACTACTACTGTTGCTATCATTACTGCTACTAGAACTGCTGCTATTGGCACTAGAATTTGTATCACTTGAACTGCTAGATTCTATTTTCATTTTTTTCTGTAGACGACTCTTCTTAACTTCTTTTTTTCGTTCTTCGCTGTAAAAGTTTTTGATTACATAAATTGTAAGTTTTAAAGTCTTCAGACATTATTGATTATTAGAATGTGGATATTTATGAATTTATGATAGAAAACGTATTAAGATTCGCAATCCGTAGATTACTTGATTTATATTATACTCTGTATATGTATATCATGAATACATAAACATTCACATTATATTCATTGATTGTTCTTTATCAATTCACCTGTTAGATTCTTCTTGCTTTTTCAGAGCCTTCTTCAATTGTGAAGTACGCGAAGATCTATGCAAGTATTTTCTTTTGCCCTTACATTCATAACTCCAATGACCCATTTCTAAACATTTTTGACATCGCATCCCCTGTGGATATGGATTGCTATAAAAAATACATGAAGAATAATTTAATGACTACACACGGATGTTGTTATACTGTGTTTATTATCTTTTATTTGCACATAGTTTCATGAAAAACAATAAATGACTTCTTATGCATATGCAAAAAATATTCAAACTTTATACTAACCTTTTCTTTAAAACTTTCAAACCGTTTGAACTCATCTTACATTAATATTCATACCTTTGAATTCTAATCCAATAAATTACTTGCATTTAAAAGTAAAAAGTCTTAACAACATTTGTTTATATGTAACAAAAGGTTAGTTTACTTGAAAAGATTTACATACATACACCAAATACAAAACGCAATTTCATTTGAAGCAACTGAATATATAATACGGTAGGTCATTTGAAACCACCAATCAAGTTTCGTATATAATGTTACTACAAAAACAAGAAAAAGTTTTCATCGAAGTATAAATTCATTATTGCTAATGATTTTAGTAATTAAATTATAGTAAATGAACATATTATATTTGACGATAATTGTGTTTTCAATTAATAATTTTACATGTACATATTTAAATATATATTATACCTACTACTAAGTAAGATAGATTTCCTTAGGCGACAAGGGAAAGAAAATTTCATTATTCGTACATTTTTTAATGCTAAATTTTTAACACATTAAAACACCGTGGTACATCGGTTATTAATTATGATAAAAAATAATAATTATAAGAAATGTTATATTACATTTTGATGTAGTTCCTAGAATCATTTTTCTGAAATATAGAATGCTTAAATAAAATAGCTTGCTTTTAAACATAATGCATGATAGGGCGCGAATGTTACGTAGTAGGGACTTGTTCCTTTTGATTAAAATTTTCTCCAAGAAAGCCATATTCGCATTCGAATGTGATATATATTATAATTTAAAAGAAGAAATAGTTTAGTGATTACTAATACAAATATCTACGTAATACATATATATATATATATATATATATATATTATTAGAAAATTATGATATCTTTAGATTCTAGAAAACATTATTTAAGTATAACGAAGTATAAGAATAAGAATCTAGAATTAAAAATTAATAAAAATATTTTGATTGAAAGAAGTAGTATACTTCAACAAAAGAAAAGGCTGTTACGAGACAAATATGAACAATTGGTAAAATTTTACAAAGGGCTATAAATTAAAATATGTATTCCATTTCATTCAATTTGTAAAGGTTTCTTCCATTTTATAGAACGATGTAAATTACCGAGTTTGGAATACAGAAGATAAGTTTTGTAATGAAATATGGAATTTCTCTTTAAAACACAATTTTGTATTTTTTAATCAATATCCTAATATTATAGAAAGCATTAAACCTCATAAATGTAAATATAGCAGTATTTTTCAGAAAGATGTACAAAAAATTAACGTAGATAAAGAAGCTACACTTAGCAATTTAAAACAAGAAATTAATGCTATAAATAGTGAATTAAAATTTGTTTCTAATAAAAGTATTCAACAAAATATAGAAGATTATAAATGTGCTTTAAATAATGTAAAATTATTTGCTGAAGAAGTAATGGAAGTAATAAGGTATAACCGTTACGTAAATATATTAATAGAGGATTAATATTTATATATTATTTTTTATCAAGATAATTCTTCGTTACATGCATTGGTTTATTTTAGATTATTAAACTCTTCAGAAAATTTTATGAATATACCCAATACACCTTTGCGCCAACTATCAAATAGATGTATAAATAAAGCATTTGTAAGCGCAAAGAAACTGTTTAAAAACCCTATTTTTGATATTGGTATATCTATTGGAAACAAGGTTACAGCTATTTCAAGTACAATAATCCAGAATCCTAAATTGGTATATAATATACTTTGTAAAAATGTTTGTTTTCTTTCTTAAGTTATTTTAATGGTACAAAAAGTATATTCTGTATTCCATTTTGAATTGCAGGATTTAAAAGATAACAATATCATAACATTTGGTAAATTTATTATGAAAAAACAAAGTGTTATTTCTTTAAAATATCAACAATCTTTGAAAAATTAAGAATAAAATTATATTTGTTAACTTTATTAACTTTATATTTATTAATACACATATATATATATATATATGTTTGCAAATTAAGTTTCATCCTGAATATAATTAGAAATGGAATAACAAATTTAAATATAGTTGTAGTATATTCATATATTTAGAAATATACAGCATTCTATGTAGTCATATACACTGAATTACATTAATATTACAATTTTTAAATCATATATGTAATATCGCTCGATAGACTATTCAACAAGATTATAATTTGAGAACAGTAATCAATTTTTAATTTCCATATAAATTTAATTATCTTTCGATCATATCATGTTACTTATATATTTTAAAACTGTTGAACAGTTTATCACAACAATAATTGTAATTGTAGCACTTCTTTTGGCAACTTTTGTATATATTCTCAAACTTAATACTTTAAAATGTATGAAATACACATACATATATTAGAGAAATAAAATGATAACTTAACTGCAATATTTTGTACATATTTTTAACAAAGACAATTAATGTTATATGATTTTTACATCATACACATGACCACTATTACACGTTGTTTTAAACGAAAGGTGAAAAATACAAGCACAATTATTTTGGCATCATATCTATGAATTGACACTGATTATTACAATTTAAAATGACCTGAGAGTTATCATTGAACTTTATAAAATTTTCATCATTAATTTTATGTAAAACATTTGTAACATAACAAAGAAAAAAGATATTAACATGAAGTTAAGAGAAGATCTTAATTTTGTGCAACATTATTATCGGATTTTATTATTTAATAGACAACTTGTAAATGTTTGAAAGACGAGTTTAATATAGTTACATAATATTCTTATATCTGAAACACAATTAGCATAGAAAACTTGTAGACACATGACAAATTATACATTTACATAGTATATCAGTGAATAGTTACAAAATATATCATTTCTTAATTATAATTGAAAATTTGCTAAGTTCCATTCTACATTGTAAATATTTTAACAATTTATAAAATTAATGATTTTGTATTTTTGTATAATAAATGTTGCTCAGAATTAGTTTATTAATGCTTACAGCTTTTGACAGTTGTAAAATTGGATAAATTCATTACGAAAAACAAACATAAAAATATACAAGAAATGGTACTTCCAGTATAAATAAATAACATTACTTAAAGAACAAGGTATATTAATATATTTTATAATTTATAATACATCGATATATTGGTTTTGGGTTATAATTATCGTAAGTAAAGTTGTGCTAATTATTTTACATATATTGCACAGCCATTGTATAACAAAGAATAGATAAATGAAATCATAAGTATTGTAATATGTTCGAAATAAGAAACATGGTATATCAATATTTCAGTAGGTTGTACACGTACAAGAATGTATAACATGTTTAAAAAATCAATATACCCTTGGCTATAAATAAAATCTAATCAACTAGTACAATCATGAAACCAATAAAAAACATGTATACAAATATATATTTATAAATATGTACATAATTAAAAATTATAATATGATTAACATACAAACATTCAAAACTAGTATATTGTCACTAAACTAATGCTCTTTGTATGTGTACGATGAATAAACATTTTACAAATGAATAGAAAATGTTCATTTAATATACCAGAAGCTACCATTTATGGAACTTAGCAAAAATTAACCTTATAATTATACGATACTAAAACTAATATTATACTTATATGTTTGGCAGCTCTTTTATCTGATGAGAGCATAATAGTGATTTAATTAAAATTATTAATTATTCTATTTGTTGTAATTTATTGATCCGTAAAAGAATAAATACCATTAAATGTTTGAATGCTCTGTAAAAGTATATCATTTAAATACACTTTGTAATTGTTACAGAATATTGCAACTAATTTAACAGACATGGAAGCAAAAATTATAATTAAAACATAGAATTATTTTTGTATGTTTTTTCAGATAGTACATAATTTTATAAGTAAATTTCTTCAGTTGGTCTTAGAAGTAAAAAAAATTATACACATTTTAATATAGTAAGTTAAATTATATACATAACTAGATTTTGTGTTTTGGAAGAGCAATTTTTTTTTCATTTCTTATAAATGAAGCTCCTATAACTTATAACTTGATATAACATAAAGTAACTAATCATTTACAAGCTTTATACTATAATACAGTGTCAGTTTACTATTATTATTTTAATTTTGTCACCAAAATAGTTTCTTTGTATGGCAATGAATAGCAATAACTAAAATGTAAAAGTATTGATGCCGATTCTTAATTGTACACTTCCTCTAATTCATAACATTATCTCACTCTTTTGTAACTAAGACAGCTGTTGAAATGATAATTATGTATCTAAGAATAATATTTTACATTATACTATATATTACCAAATAATACACATAAAAATGTAGAAGAATGAAGTATTATAAACTCTGTGTGTATGTGTGTGTGTGTGTTGGATGTGTACGTGCGTGTGTGTGTATATATGTATACCATGTTAATAAAATTTCAGTATAATTTATATCTTTACTGTATCTAAAATATTTCATTATAATTCTGTTTTCTTGTAGTTCTATTATTTGCTGTGCATGTTTGTAACTCAGCACCAATTTCACAATATATTTATACATATGTTTCTTTCCTCATATTGAAAATGTATCGCAGATATATGATTATTCATTATTTATTATTCAATTTATGAGAATATAAATATATGCACCTTTTCATTCATTGTATCGATAATACTCATATATTTTATATCGACGTGAGATCATTACAGTGAGAATTTAAGTTAATAAATATTTGTATCAAATATTTTTTTTCTGTATCACTCTCATTAAGAATCGACATCTAAGTCATATAAGGAGGTAATTTTCTAATTTTGTTACATGGATCGATAAGGTCCTTGCATTTTTAAAAACTGAATTACTAAAGAAGGGCCTCCGGCAACTATTTCTGGTGGTATTTGAGAAAGTGGACAATTTTCAATTGACATAATACTGAGATTTGTGCATAAAGCTAATTCGAATGGTAAATTATGTAAATTTGCATTATCATTCACATAAAGAGAATCTAAATTTTCTAGCGTACCAATCTCTTCAGGTAAGTAGTTTAGATTATTTTCTCCTACGCTCAAGTAAGTTAAATTTGTCAAATGACCAATCGCTCTGGGTAAAGAAGTTACTTGATTCGACTGTAAAATTAATTTTTGCAAATCTCTCAGGAAACCAATTTCGTTAGGTAAAGATTCAATCTTATTTTCCTCGAGATCCAAAACTCGAAGTTTACGTAAATTTGCTATACTGGCAGGAATACGTTTCAACAAATTATTGGAAAGTATTAAAATTTCTAAACTTTGAAGACACTGAATATCGTCTGGAATTTTGGTAAGTTGATTTGTACCCAAATTTAATTCGACCATATTGACCCATGTCCCAATATCTAAAGGTAAAGCTGTTAACTGATTTTCTTTCATATTTAATTTTGTCAGGTTCTTAGCCCTAGAGAAAATACCATATGGTATTTTGTCTATTTTGTTATGCTCAAGGTTAATAGAATAAACATTCGTGAACTGAGCTGGTCCCCCTGATGGATATGCGGTAAAAGCATTTCTAGACAATGTAATTGTCGTTAAATCAGAGAGGCTTGCAAGCAGACCATCTGGCAACTGAGACACTTGATTGCCTTCGACGCTAAACTCGTCCATTAGTTTACAATTTGCCAGTGATTTTGGAATATTACTTAATCTATTATATCTAAGTCCTAATCTCGTTAACGAAATTAGATTTCCAATTGTATCTGGAATATCTAGAAGCTCGTTGTGTTGCAAGTCAAGCGTAGATAATTGGACGCAATTTCCAATTTCTTCGGGTAAATGCTCTAAATGATTATGAGACACGTCGAATGTTATTAAATTAACTAACTTGCCAATACCAGCAGGAAGTTCTTTGATCTTATTTTCTCTCAAGCTTAACATTGTTAGATTAGTCAAATTTCGTATGTTATCACTTACATATCGGACTCGATTGAAGCGTAAAAACAAGGTAGTAAGACTCGTTAATTTATAAACAACATCAGGTATTTCGCTGAGCTTATTATGCCTCAGGTCAAGGACTCTTAAAGACTTCAGATTTTCTAACGTATTCGGCAAACTGGTAAGAGAATTTTCACTCAATGCCAATGTTTCTAAATTTGCGAGGCAACCAATTTCTGGTGGCAATGTTACCAGTTTGTTACCGTACAAATAAAACTCGACCAAATGCGTCAAGTCTCTCACTGTACTAGGTAAATTAGTAATACTGGATTTACTTAAATCCAATCGTGTTACGCATTCTTCTTTGCATCTTGTAAATTCTTTGGACACATCTAGATCGGCTTGAATCGGTTTGCCTTTTTTCGTGGTTGGTTTCGGTTTATTTGATTCCGGGTGTTTGACAGTTACGGTTTTTTTTGTGTCGGGACCAGCTATGGAGGCAGAGGATAATTTTTTCTCCTTTGTCTGCTCCTTATTGTCCCGCAGGACATCTACGTCTTCGGGCATATCACCGGCTGTACAGGTGGTTAAACCACAGCCTTCCAAATACTCAGGAATATCTTGTTCCTTCATGTAAAAAGTCGGAAGACTGTCTTCGAGGTCCCCACGGTCCCTCTTTACCTCGGACAAACACACCGTTGAAATGTTACCCACACCTGTCCAATATTTGTTCGACTTTTTCATAACCTAACCACTATCGTAATTACGGTAATTTTCTGTGTATATTCTTGTATTTCTACAACATTATACACTTTTCATGATTTTATACTCTATACGTATCGACATATCGATGTCATCTACTACTGCAAGTAGCTGCAAGTAGCGCAAACGCGATACGGCTGACAGAGGAAGGACTAGGTGAACAACGAATATTTAGTACCGTTCTAAAAACCAACTAAACGTTACCTTGTGATATTTATATGTATATGGTATTCTTTAGTTTGCGAAAGAACCGTAGTTCTGAACGACAATTCTTGTTCATACTGCGCACGTTTACGCTGATTGGTTCATAATCAGAGATAACGTGTAAACACACTAATGACATCTAAAATGTTGTTCAAATTTATAAAGTTAGAATTTTGAAATTTCGAAAATTTGGAGGTTTATGTGGTTATGTACTTGAAAGTTTAAATACTTAGGAATTTGAAATTTGGTAACTAAATATATTTACCAGTTAATTATGTATGTCCTATTACTTTTTTTCAATTGTTTATACGTTTTTTGTTCACTGTGTATATGACCATGAAGTGAGTCGTATGCCGTAAATTGACATCACACTGTTCAGAAGGCTTTACCTGAAGTTTGCTAACATGCGTGAAATTACTTATGGTTTATTTGCGAAACAATAAATAATTTATTTTGAAATGCACATTTATTGAATTTTATTTTCAAATGCGCATAAATGTGATAAACAGGAATATAAAATAAACATATAATATTTCTTGTTGCAAGTACTGATCGCTATAAAATCTATTTAAATTAAATGGTAAATTATGATGTAATTTTGAACGCTCAATTTCATAGATGTTTAAAAGGTACAGTTTAAATATTTGAAACGTAGGACGATATACTGGAAAAAGTGAATGCAAATATATTAAATATAAAAGGTATTATAATCTTTTGATTTACTTGAAATTGTCGAAGGCCATAGCTGAATAATGTTTGATCTCAAATTATTGCGGAGAACATTAGATCCGTCTATAAAAATAAAGGAAGTTTGTCCATCGTACGTAATTAGACTTTTACCCGAATTCAAAGATTCATCATGTATTATTTTGTATAAAGATGTAAGTTGTAAATTAATTGGATTATTATTATTTTATTATTATTATCATTTTATTCAATGTTTATTCATTATTTTAGCATTTCACTGAATCTCAAATTGATGATTCCAAAATTGCAGAACATGATCAAACAAGTTGTAAGACTTTTATTATATATTGAAAATTATGTATTTACATGACACAAATTATTTTGATAAATATTTCAGGTTTCGAGATTACTGGATCACCTTTGAAATATTCTTTTAACGAAGGTTCTGATGTGGAAGACAGTATTATCTTGGTAAGGAAAAATTGGTACAAAAATGAGGAACAATATCTACCATTATGTAGAATGGATGCATGGTAAAGTTATAATTATTTATGCAACAGATTATTGTGTATAACAAATATAATTAACGATTACAATGTGATTTTATTGTAGTAATGTATTAAATTCTTGTATCGAACGTACGAACGATAATATTCCTCTGATACTTGCACTTTGTAATGGTACGGATAACAAAAACAGCAGATTAATAGGTACAACGATAGAAGCAAAATGGTTTACTACGATCGAAATTTGTTCAGTTGGTATAGAAACTCTGGATGTTATTAAGAAATCTTCTACAAAAATTTTTCAACAACATTTGGCACTGTCTTGTGTGTGCGAACGTGATGCGAGTGTCCTACTTATTTTGATACTGACAGATTTACACATGTCTACAATGCTATATTATTTTATTTTGATACGTAGGTTACTGTATCTGTATTTAGTATTTTTGACTTGTTCGGAATAAAAGCAGAAATGATTAATTGGGATGAAAATATGAAAAGCAACTTTGAGGGGAGTCTAAGTATAGAAGTAAATACTTCCAGTTTATCATTATATTCACCTACAAGAGCATCGAAGAATAACTTGGTAAACTTATTTCTTTACAGACACTATTTTTATACATATATGGATTAAATATAATGTATATAACGAACAAATTTCTTTATTAATTTAGAATTTTATGTCCTTTTTAGATTGTTCAAGTTGTTACAGGTTCTATTAATAGTCCTTTGAAAGAATTATGGCAACAATTACTATTATTAAATAAATATTTGAATATATTGGACGAATACAAAAAGAATTCAAATTCACGTTATACTTCGGTTCCTTTGGAATTCCCGGAGAATTTTATAAGTCCGTATGCGAAGGTTTCGTAAAATTATAATTTTTAATGTTTATGTAAGATCTGAATTATATGCGATAATATCTTCATGATTGTTCTAAACAGGAACATGATGCAGTAATGAAAAATTTAAATCGGTTGTTGACTGAAGATCACATTTTTATAAATTCCGACAACATCGATCCGCGTAAGATAAGTTTTGAAAGCGAAGAAAATTTTGAAAACGGTATAAGAATTCAGCAGTATATACAGAATCTTCCACATAGGTACAGTTTAGATTTTACTGATTTTTTATGGGAATTACTCATAAGTAAGTACTATTTATGTAAGGAATATGTTACCCGTGTACATATTTATACATGTGTAAAAAAATTTACATTTCCAGTGAATTCAAATTATGTTGAAATAACAAAATGTATTTATTCGGTACTTGAAGAAATTGTAATAAATGGCTCTTTAGTACAGGTATTACAAATCTACATATATTACATAGTGCCAGAAAATATTCGTATAATTTTATAGGAAATATCGGAAAATTTATTTTTAATTATATTTTGGTTGGACTTCAGCTAAATTCTACAAACTCGACCAGAATTGCTAAAATTATTGCCAATCCACCTGAACAAAAAGTAATTTCACACTTATTAGCAGGTAGTTTACCGTTGGAATATATTATAGACATGGGTTTTGAAAAATTATGGAAAGATTACACGTATATTTTAATAAATGCAAGATTTGAAGAGTTGCGCGATATTCAACAAAAATTTAAGGACTTATCATGTAATGAATTTATAGTTGATATCTATCGGTATGTGCAAACAAACTCTTTTATTTACATATATTGATTTTTTTTTTCAATTGTCATTTATCTTGCGTATATTTTCAAATTAATATTTTCAGGAAGAAATTAATAATAATGGTACAAATCCATGTATGTTTAGAATTCATGTTACTTTTACAAGACAATTTGGAATGTCCAAGCGACGACCTACGAGTTTTATTTTCTTGTGCTTTAAAACAATATTGTGAAGAATCGCCGGTACAAAATTGCCATGATTTGCATGAAAATTCAATTTATACTTTAACTGCCCCGTTACCCGTTTCAGCGATTAATAATTTGAATAACGAGTATGTATAACGTTTTTAAAAATAATTTTGTGCAATTATTACTTATCGCCACTTTCAGAATACCCACTGTAAGAAGGATTTCACTGTCATCCGAATCTCAGTTGTCCAAATTAAAAACTACTACGTATTACAGTCAGTTGCCCATATTTCCAACAAATATATATCCTGCAGGTAACACTCATTTATCTCTGAAGTATAATAGTTGATGTACAATTGATGAATACGTGACGAAATTTTTATAGACGACTCTAATATAACGGATGAAGCATACTATGTTACCACAGCTATTTGCTCGTCCAATAAATTTAAATAAAGTGTTAACAGAACCATTGATAAAACGAGAGATACAGGTGAAATTGAAAACTACCATTTCTGTATTTTTATTCGGGTATTAAAAATAAGTTGCACACTTTGCGAGGTAATTATATGTTTAATTCATAATTAATAAAATAAAAATTATAAAAGCATTTTTCAAATACATTAAATGTATTCGGTATATAAATATAACTAGATTTACGAGTGTTTGTACTCTCAGTCATTGATAATGTACACTCCAATTTACTATTAAACATTACATTCACAGACCTAAACCTTGTGAATTACATTTTGAATTCAAACTACTTCTCAATGTACAAATATATATGCAGAGTATGTTATAATTGTTAAAATATATGGTCAAACATTTTATGAACATTTATAGCCGGCATTAAAAAGGTAAATATTGTTACATACAAAGAAAACTTTCTTTAACACGGTGTTCAATGCTATTTTATAGAAATAGACCGTTTTTGTTTCAAAACCCATTTAACATACTTTGGTGGTTTTTCTGAGTATCAACATAGTTAATGATAAAAGTTATATCAACTCTAAGCCATCAATTAAATTATGGCATTGCATGCAATAAGTACATAATATAAACAATGTTAATACTGAGACGTTTCTACGTCATCTACTCCGGAAACGCTAGCTTGCTCAAGTACTTCAAGAAGTTTCTGCATTTCCATAGAATCCGACGAACTATCGAGTGTTCTTTCCAGTGCTCGAACATACGACATGCATGTACGTCCTTCGTGGTCTAAATTTTGTGGATTTGCTTTATGCTGCAATTTCGTATTCAGATGAAAATAAGTCTATATTATTTCGCAACGATATTGTCGCATGAAGATTGATACTCACCCATATTAAAAGTTGAGCCATAGCTAAATTTCCTGTGGCGCAAGCCAAATGCAAAGGTGTTCTTAAATCTTCCATACTAACAGGCATATTAATGTCTTCGTAACTGCATCTGACTAAGCATAGCGTAAATGCCCTCATATCGCCCCTGTAATACAAAGGTTATCCAATTACTACGATCGGTTATACTTTATGTAATTTAAGAATATTTACCGGCAAACTGAATCGATAAGCAATTTTCCCAATGAAATATTTGGATTAATCGGCGGTAAGAAAAGTTTGTCTTCGTATTTCCATCTGATCCATTGTTCCTTTTCTTCCCTAGAAGAGTCTGAATTCGGCTTTTGTTTTCCGTTCAAGCAATATTCCCAAACGCTATTTGCTATGTTATTACCAAGTGCTAACATTACACTTAACTGACCTGCGCTGAAATTAATGTTACGGCTACTTTTACATTGCAAAATATTACAGACAAAATTAAACGTATAGCTATAAAAAATATCATCTATTAATATCATAATTATTTTACAATGTTTGTTGTCATGGAAAGAGAATATGTTACGCTTAATGAATAAATAGTTATCGCACTTACGACCAGTCATCCAAATCCAGTGATCTAACTTTTGATATGTGTGAACCTAAATTTCTGTGTATTCCTGAGCATTCGATGCACATTAATACACCTAAATTTAAGCTAGCCCAGTCTGGATCTGAAATACGAATAATGAATAAGAACCAAATGAAAGAATGTTTCCGGTAAATACACTGATTATTTACTAGGTGCTCCACAGTCCACACATGCATCATTTCCTGACACCTTATTTCTTATGCAGTGCATTTTGAAAGCGTCAGTTTCATTTTTCTTATCACCATCGCTATTCTGTAAACTCGACAATATTTGTTGTTCTATAGCAGAAATCCAACTATCTCTATCCTCGGCATTATTCGCTTCAAAATGCCATGTTTTATTCTCTAACGAAATGATGGAGAATTCAAAACTATCCTCTGCAAAATTAAAGAACGAGTTAAAATTGAATCGATTGAATCGTAGTTTCATAGGTAGAATAGATACTTAAACATTAATTATGCACCTTGAGCATTAGATGATTTGGAACCTTTCGGGGTTTTGCCAGGCACTTTTACAGTTACATATTGTAATAATATTTCTTTACCGTTAGTATCGTTCATGTAATCCTGAATAACAAATTATAAAATTCACTTTATATACATACAGTTAATACATTTAGTACGTCATGTAATAAAATTACTTAATTACATGTAAGCTGGAATGATAAGTTAAACGACCATCTTCCAGCAGAGTAACATATTTCTTTTTCCATTCTTTCAAAGATTTACTACTGCGTTTGAACAAATATCCCTGTTTCACAGGTATTTCTCTGCCAACACCCATTTCACCCATATTGTATTTTTCCTTCTTAGACGGAGTGAATATATTAGACTTTCTTCGAAATTTTCTGTAATATATAAATATAACTCGATTTCGTGTTTTTCTTTTCTTTTTTTCTTTTTTTTTTTTTAAAGCAAAAAAATTGACGTATCCTTTTATAAGAGTTTCACCTGATGGTGGTTGGAGTTAAAATTGAAGATCTAAAATCACCGTGCTGATTCTGTGCATTATGAAAATTATCACTTATTGTCCCTGAATCATTTTGAGTCGAACTATTGTGTAGAGATCGAGAATCTTCATCTTTATCAGGTGTCTATAGAAAAAAAAATTGTTGATTACGTAAACAATGCAAATTAATATATACTAATGAAATACAATACCCACGTTTAATTTTGACGAATTCGTTGCTTCCATTTCTTTGGTTAGATGCTGCAGATTTTTGGCAATCATCGGAACAGGATATTTTGTTTCATTATCTATCGTTTGTTGCCCATTACATCGATAATGTTTCACGGATATATGCTGTATAATTTTTTGACACACTGTAATATTCAGAATATTCTCAGAATAATCATCAAATTCGCTAAAGCATAACAGTAATAATAAAGGGAAAAAATATAACAAAATACGCGTAACATTAGTTTAACTATCGTGAAATTGAATTTATCGTATTGAAAATTATACATAAATGAAAATGAAAATGAAAACGCATATATTAGAAATTGTTTTATAATATTTACCATCTTGAAATACTCTTTCGACATTCAAACCATAAATAGCACAAGTTTCGTAATAAGGACACCTTAGATCACATGCCAATTTTCTTGGTCTAACATCTTTTATAACTCGAGGATTGGAATCATTAATTGAATCTAAATGAAGCGAAACAAATGTAGTTAGATCCATAAAATCGTGACACATATGTATATCTTACCTTGAACTCCTACAAGTATTTTTGGTACTTCTGACATATTTCGAAATGAACACATTCTATTATAGAAACTGCATACTACAGAGAAACTTTCCTCACTTTCTAAACTAAACACTAGTAACAGAGCATCTATCCAAGCAGTAAACTAAAATAAACAATATTTAAGTCGCTTAAATAATATGAAAATATTTATTAAACATATGTACGATAGAGATTTGTACATATGCATACAAAAATTTATAATATTTATTTTTGTATACTTGTAATTCCGGTATTCCACCCTCGTCTCTAATTAATAAGAGATAACTTTGATCATTGATAAAAATTTCCTTTTTAAAGCGACCACCCTCTGGAGATTCTTCATGCATGAACGAACCGGTTAAATATCTATGTACTAAAGCCGATTTTCCTGAATCCGATGAACCGATAATTCCTAAATGTAATTCTGGAACATCTCTAGCCAATGTCCATTCGTGACTATTAACAAAAGAATCTATAACATAAAATTATACTCGTTATATGATACAAAATTAATATTTTAAATAATAGTGGAAATATTGTAACTAAGTGAATATAATTAAAAAAATGTTATTATGCATCATACCTTCAATTGCAACAACATGTTCACGAATTTGTTTGGCAATATGAGTATCTGATATAAGATCTATCAGATCGTAAATAGCATAAATTGACGGATGAACACTTTCAAAACGTTGTATTTCTTGTCTGATCGCAAGAGAATGATTGTGACTACTTTGCTCAGTTGTCATTTTCTTAAAATTTCTTTAAATTACTTTTCGAAATTAAATTATAGATACCGCAGCTTTGTACTGCATTGTGCTGCAGCAGTCAACGATTAAAACATTTCCACATGATTTCGGAAACTTGTACTTATCTGTTATCATGTAAGAAATGTCAAATTTCAATATTTATCAACATTATTAAATGAACGATACAGGTTAATCGACACTACCGCATAAAGTAACACTATCCTTTTCAAGAACGATAGAATTGAAGCTTGTTGTTAAGTTATAAACGACAAACTGTTAAAATTGATATTTATTAATTAATTTTATGATAGTAGAAGATTGGCAAAAAAAAAAGAGAAATACGTCGTTGAAATGTTCCTTTTACGTAAAGCTTCTTCGAAATTTTATTACGTTCATGGTTTTATACAGACATATTATTCGTTCGACGGGAAATCAAACTTAGCACGGATAACTTCAGTAGGTTCCCCACTACTGGATTAAATCTGGTTGACGCTAATTTGTGTTCTCGTTTACCATACGATTTTCATGTCAGTTGTTTGTCATGTAAATATAAATACGTATATATTATTTATGTGTACGTATAAATATTATTAACTACTATTTCGTTTGGAAAATATTTACAATGGCCAAAACACAAATTGATGATATTTACGATGGATATAATGATTACCCATCGATATACAGTATTAAAGATCTTGAGCAAGATGCATTGTTTCAAGGGGTTCTTAGTACAAGTTATGGAAAGAGACCAGTTGTAAGTATCAATAAATAAGGCCATGATATTAAAATGACGTTTGTTGATTTTAATAATAAGATACTTTGAATTTTTAATCGTGTAATAGTTTACACCAAAAGTACCTGGAACTGCTATGCGTTTGGGTACTTCGAGCGGAGTAAGTAAATGTTATGAATTTAGTTATGAAAAGAATATATGTACGTAATAATATAAAATTTATGTGTATAAAGTTAACAAAAGCATATAAAAAAGTATATTGTAACAGTTTTTGATTAATCGATTTGTTTAGTTTCATAAAACTGGTACTGGTATACCAATGCGCCCCATGACTAGCGGACTAAGACCAATGACTGCTGTTAGAGGTGCCGGTTATACCAGTAGTAGTCGTCAACCTTTTGATCCGTTAAATATGAGCAGCAATACCAAAGGGCCTGTACCACCTTTAGAAACCGGAAAAGAAGACACGTGAGACTATATTATCTATTAAATTATTGGTATTAATTTAATTTAATTTATAAAAAGAAGTGGATATTTAATTTTAAAGGCCAGAAGAAAAAATCAAAGTAGCGGAGAAAAAAATAATGGTGTTAATAGAGAGTTCGATAGAAGCAGCGTACGAAAGCAATACAAGGGTTGCCTTAGAGAGAGCAAGAGAAGCTTCTTCGAGAGAAAAGGTTCTTATTAGATTACAAGAACAAGCTGGACTTAGCGATAATCACAATGTAGAACTAACATTTGCTGTAAGAATTTGTATTTTTGAAATTTGATTTTTTATTACAATTTAAGCTAAAGTACTAAAGTACCGTAACAACGTTTCAGGTAATTTTTAATTTAGCGATTCAATATACCAACAATAATATGTTTACAGAAGCTATAGCAACTTATCAAGCTATAACAAGAAACAGAATGTTTAATAATAGCGCTAGGCTTAAAGTAAATATGGGAAATATTTACGTTAAGATGGGACAATTATCCCAAGCGATTAAGATGTATAGAATGGCATTCGATCAAGCATCAGCGGCTCATAAAGACTTAAGGTAGTATATGAATAGTACATTATTGATATTTATTGTCGAGCTTCTAGCATTATATTGTATTTAATGTTTATGTTAATTTGCTAAATAATTCACAGAATAAAAATAATGCATAATATTGGAATGTTATTTGTTCAAATGGGTCGTTTGGAAGAAGCAGCTAATAGTTTTGAATGGGTGATGAAAGAAAGAGCTGAATTTAAAGCAGGCTTGCATGCTGTGTTGTGCCATTTTGCATTATCTCATCGAGATAAAATGAAAAGAGCATTTTTAGAATTATTAGAAGTTCAACTTAACATAGACCAAGAGGACAGATATAATATAAGTACCGTGAGTCGGGCACGTTTATAAATGTTGCTCAAAATAAAATTTTGAGCACGGCCCATTCAAAAGCTACATAATTATTTGTTGTTTATGTTTTGTGTATGATAAAATTACAGTCTCGTGCACTAACAGTTAATAGTAACAATTTGAAACAATTATTTTTCTGTTAATATACTAAGCGCAATAAAAAGCGTACTAAACGCAATAAAAACGTCTGTCACTGGTTTTCAATGAAATATTTCTTCGATTCTTATTAAAATACTATTTACTTATTTTATAGGACGATGTTGCTTCTAACATATTAAATGAGATTTTAAAGAACGACGATTTATCTAAACTAGAGAAAGAATTGAAATGCGAAGCTGAGAAAACTATTCTCTGCGCCGCAAAACTCATAGCGCCTGTTATCGAAGATACACTTACGGCTGGTTTCGCTTGGTAAGATTTAGAAAAATTCTATCGCATATGTTTTACGTAACATTTAGATTGTTTCATTATCGATCGTGATTACAATTATATTTATCAAGGTGCGTGGATTCTATAAAGTCTTCAGCTTATGCATCGCTGGCTGCAGATTTAGAAATAAGTAAAGCTATGGTATTTTTGCACAATCGAGAGACTCAATTAGCAATCGATACCTTGAAGATGTTTGAAAATCGGGAAAGTAAAGCTAATAGTTCTGCTGCCACTATGCTTTCGTTTATTTATTTCTTTGTAAGTGACGTTACTTGTTTTATTGATTCTAAGTAAAATTAAAGACACGAAGGAAAGTTTATTTGACTTGAAGCAAGGAGATTACGATCAAGCAGAAAGATGCGGGGAAATCGCTCGGACGGCAGACACGTATAACGCAGCAGCTTACGTTAATTTATCAGCCTGCGCATTTAGAAAGAACGAATTAAATATTGCCAAGGAGTTTCTTTTGTGCGCATTAGATACGGATGCTGGTCATGTACAGGCTCTTTATAATCTAGGTAAGTGTTATGATTATTTGTATACATGATCTAAAATGTTTATACATTTATACATTTAGCGAATTAATGCGCTAAGTGAATTATTTATTACTTAGGATTAGTGTATAAAAAACAGAATATGTACGAGGAAGCATTGGAATGCTTTTGGAAACTTCGTAATATTGTTAGACACGATCCGCAGACATTATATCAGATTGGTCATTTGTATCAGCTTATGAACGATACGGATCAAGCTATGGAGTGGTATTGTCATCCTTTCTAATACGTAATATTCGCATTCTTTGATTTTATGAGGAGTTTAATAAAATTACTTTCCATTCTATTAGGTATAATCAGTTGCTCAGTATAATACCATGTGATCCTGGAGTTTTGCAAAAAATGGGAGAAATGTACGATAGCATTGGGGATAAACAACAAGCGTATCAATTTTACAGCGACGTAAGTTGTTTCATTGTATAAATATGTATTTTGTTTTTACTGTTTTAATTTAGAGCAATGTTAATACAGTCGTACAGATTTTTTCCTGCAAACTTTGAAGTAATCGATTGGCTTGGATCATACTTTGTAACGATGCAGGTAATAATCGTACCGTTGTTTCGCACAAGCTAAATACATAGAATGTAAACTTATATCATGGCGTTTCGAAGGTTGCCGAGAAAGCGTTAATTTATTTCAAGAAAGCAGTGGAACTAGCACCCGACGAACCAAGGTGGAGATTATTGGTTGCTGCATGTTTAAGGCGAACAGGTCAATTTCATAAAGCTCTTACGGAATATCAAGACATTCATAATAAATTCCCTGAGAACATCGAGTGTCTTAAATTTTTGGTTCGATTATGCAGTGATCTCGGTTTAAAAGAGGCTCAGTTGTATGCAACGGAATTAAAACGTGTTGAGAAAGCAAAAGAGCTTAAAGATAGACAAGGATCAGCAAGACCAGGTGCAACTAACGTACGTCGTGCATTTTGACAGACATAAAATTATTCTAATAATATTTGCAGGTTCCAGAAGGAGTAACAGTAGTACCTCCTCGCGAACTGGTTCTGGCATGAGTGTATTATCGGATCATAGATCGAGTCCCATCCTTGGCAAAAGAGATAATCAGAGTTTGAATAGCGCTGGAGTTTCACGAACCAATCGAACTTCTTCGAACGAGAATTTTATGGAAACAGCATCCGACGTAAACGAACGGACAAGTACGTCAGAACTATAGTATATAGGTAGATAAGAATAATTAGTAATTGGGTCCATGAGTGTACGGTGTACGAACGAACGGCCACAATTTTCTGTAGAGTTTTCTACACTTTCTTTTTCCCTACGGATAATTATATTATTATTACGTAAAGTATATTATATTTAATTATCGTTGGTTATATCGCGTCGATGAAAGTCGGGCTAGAATTATCAAAGTATTAGAGTTATCAAAGGTTTGGGAATGCATAGCTTTATTTGAAACGAACATTAATAAGGATGATCTACAGACGACGGAGTCGAACTGCCCTAATGGATTGAACAGATGATAAATGGGTTTAGCTATTTTGAACAGTCTATTCTTGTTCCCTTGGTGAAATAGTAATCGTCAAAGTATAACGTCAATCAATAAGTTGTTACGAAACTCTGAAATAATTAACGAACGAAAAATTGGACGGGATAATTGTTATAACTCGGGAAGGAAAAAATAAGTATGAAATGTTTTGTGCAGACACGGCTTATGTTGATCCAATTGGTCCTCTACCTATCCGTCCCATGACATCCGCGGGAAAAAGGGATGACGATTTCGGCGATGAAGAGCTCGGCGATGATCTGTTGCCGGAGTAAAGTGATCGTATTTATCGTCGTATTCGTCGCTTTTATATATCACTCGCTTCACTATTTTTGTAAGCACGATATCGATAGTATTCGAATTAGCGAGAAAAGTTTGTCAGCAATTAAACGTAGGATCGAATCTAGCACGATTTATGGACAATTTATGTACGACTCAATGTAAATCGATGTAGCTGATTCGACGCGAAGGATTGTAGGTATGTTGATGATATATTAAATTTATAGTTATATTATAAGATTAAATAAATGAACGTTTTCAGGGATATGCGAGGACGTAGAAAAACACGCGGTAACTACAATGAGAAATTTTCTTACGGTTCGATAGTCGACTATCCAGACATTCCCTTAAATCTCAACACGAATTATACTTTGATAAATTATCATTTCGACGTGCAAGTTGGTAGCTTATAGTCCGTAGGATGGTGCCATACATTATGAAAGCACGAGGGTCGGGCAATTGTAACGATCTAAATTTAAACACGCTTTAACCAATTTAATCAAACTCCATTCAGCCTATGTAGTTTAGGAGAGACGGATGTTATTTTATTATAGCTATGTTCAAATATCATTTAACCGATAGAATGTGACATATTGTGAATCTGCAGGATCAGTCGGAACGTCTCTGTATGCTCTATATTTACTATATATACGCTGAATAAATATCTGTTGCACATTATTTTATCGAGCCAAGAAACGTCTTCGATTCTTCGATTGTGGTAAATTCGGTTCAATTATTTACCAAAGGTCCAATATGCACGTGACCGACAGTCGACAAGATAGAAGATCGAAACTATCGATCGAGGGTGTGTTCAAACTATATTTGATTTTATGGGAAAAGAAGCGATCGACGGTAGAGAAATTTTGAATCGAGTGTTGGTAGCGAAGGCGTTAATATAAAGGACTATCGAGCGAACTGTTCGATGGCGGGAAACGGTTAAAGAGTTTAATCGGTATGGCAGCGCGATGGTGTAGCAATCGTGTAAGGCCAGTGAAAGATATCGTTTCGTTAAATTGAAAGTGACGGTTGTTGGATCTCGAGAGCAGAATAACGCGCGATCGCGTTGTACACGATGGATTCTGTGGATTCTGGATCGTATCCGTAGTTGGTTGCGTGACCGCTCGCGCGACAATAAATCAAAGTTTGTCGATGCGCGCGAAAGCGTATCACGTATACGCGCGCAGCGGACTGTCGGCATGTAAGAAGGTGCATGTGTGACCGCAGAGACGCGCGCACACGTAATACGCACCGCGATATGGTATTAAAGTTGAAATAGTGGGGAAGCCGATTGTGGCGATCGGGAGTCGGGAGGCTCGACCAGTTGCTCCTTCGAGTTGGTATTACACCCACGTGGTTGTACGTGTGCGTGCTCTGTCGCGTCTCGAGGAAGTTGACAGTCGTTGACCGGTAACTGAAGCCGACAAAGGATAGAAGAGGATCCGAAATTGGAAGTGATCGCGTAGCGAAGCGAGCAGTGATACGTAGAAAACATTAGGGTGAGCTTGCGTTTTTCATTTTCCTGAACGCAGCGCACGTGCGAGTAACGTACGTCTGATTTCATCGGGTTTCGACTATATAAAAGTCGTATCGTACGAATATCTGAAACCGTACAGAATCGGATACTCGGTGCTTCTCGAACCGGTTTCAAATTGTTCGCGTGATGGTTGGTTAGCGAAGAAAGATATAAAACCGCGTGTATCCTAGTGTTTATAACTGGTCGACGAGCCCACATGGGTCCTTGAAACGTTACGCTGCAGGTGTTGTCATTCTGTGTTAACGTATTCTCGTGTTTGTCACGGGCTACGTACATACACGTTAACGACGAATTTCAGTAATAATCGTGCTCGATTGTTCGATGACAGCGTTTTGGTAGACTTTGATATTTGCCGAGCGATCGTGTTGCAGTTTTTCTCGACTTTTTTTATTTCGTACAGACGAGTCTAGCGATATGGAAACTTTTGAATACGTTCTAGCATCGCGAACATCGGTAACATCGTCGATAAGGAGTTTATCATATTGCCAGATTGTTATCGTACAAATTAATTTTCTAAAGTATAATTACGAGAAAGATTTGTAACCTTATCGTCGTCGTGACAACTCGATTACATCGTGTTTTACAGGTTCACGTTGGAACCGTGATTTCGATTACTTGTTTAGTATCACCGATGGTGATACTGGAAATCAGACATTTTATCGACGATTGTATAATCTGTAAAAGTTTCGAAAAGTTGGATTTAGTATTCTAATCGATAATCGTACGCTTCTAAAAATAATGCGACGGTACCGAAATGAAACAAGTTACACCTTGTCGGTGTAACTTCTGTTACGACACTGTATCGTAACGATAACGAAATTCCCAGAGAGCGATGCGACGCGTCGTGCCGCGCGAAATCCACGCGCGATGGCGTTCTCGCGACTCGAAATTGATTTTGAAAAGGATGCTACCGTTAAAAGCGAACGTCTCGAAACGTATGGACGAGCCGCCATACACGAGGGAATTCTATTCGATTAAATTTTATGCGAGACCTTGGTGATAATGTTCCGGTAATTCGCGGAAGCTTTATAATTCAACCGGTAAAGATCATGCATAACCGTACACGTTGTGAAAGGGTACGACATTATCGCGTTGCGGATAGCGCGTTTGCGGTGATTTCAGTTTTATCATGAAATCGTGGGAATCGAATTCGCGTTTCGTCGAATTAGTAGGCTATGGAAGCATCGTTCGAATTTTCGCGGCCGACCAAGTTCGTGTGACAAGTGTGCGTATTGCGCTATAGATTAGAATCATCACGTTAGGTCAACTGGCTGAATTATCTCGGTTGACGTTTTGCACCTTCCAATTGATTTTAATAGAGCTTCGTTCGGAACGACTTTGATGGCTCGGAAGAATGTTCTAGTGGTGTTTCGCGGAGTCTTCGCGCGTTGTAGACTAACAAGTCGGTTACTTTCGGCTTTGAAAATGTTTAAACATGAAATTCATCGATTTCTCTATACGAAATTATAGAAACGCGACGATTTATTAACGAAAGATCAACGAATGATTCTTGCCTCGGCGCGTAACGGAGGAGAGCCCTTATTAAAGCGGACTAACAAATGGCACGTTCATTCTGCCTCGTAGATTCTGAAGAATCTGCGAGCGCGCAATTTACAAAGAGGGCATTGAAATTCGTTGAAACGATAGCTTCTTCTTCGGTCGAAGATATTTTTTCCGAATTTCTCGTTCTGGTTCTTACTAGAATTCTATAACTAGAATAATAGAATTGTAATATATCTTCCTAAATGCAGGCGAAGTAATCGTCGAAAGAGAAACGCAGAAGAAAGAAGTATATCGGGAAAAGACGCATAGATAGAAAGATAATAAAGACATAACGACGAAAAGTATGCGAACACGAGTGCGATATAATATGTATAGCTGGTCGAACGAGTTTTTCAACTTTTACGACGTTCATACCGATGTACTAAGGTTCGAATGAATTTTCTTTTTTGTCGATGCACGAATACGTGTCATACTTGGTGAAATATATTGTTTCGCCGCGCGTACGTATTTCGAATATTCCACGACGAAACAAGTCTTTCGTATATAGTATATTTTCGATCGATTGATTGATTACGTTGTGGACGTCGACTACCACGGTCATTAGCCCGTAGTATGTTTTAATCGAATCAGTTCGGAGTTCGGAGGAAGCAGTCCCCACGGTACTCGCCATGGGACACATTTTATTACGTTTAACTGACAGGAGGCTGATTTTCAAAGTCGATTAATAAGATTTTTTTCGAACAAATGTCTACCATCGAAATTGGTCTGTATCACTAATCGTCGCTCGACCGAGGGAAAGCAAATTTACTCGTTTAATAAATAGTTTTAAATCGAGTCCAGCATTATTTTTACCCTGGTGAAAAATGAAGCAATTTACTTTTAAACTGCTGTGAATTAGACACAGGCAGTCGGTGGTGTTGCGATTGGATGGGTGGCGGGGATCGCTTCCTCTTGGCAGTCATGTTCCACAGGGATGCCAGATTTCCTCTCGTCACCGAGCGATCGTTACGCGCTCTCGCGCAGTCTCTCGAATATCCAGCCGAAAAGTTGCCGGCTCGAAATACGCGAAATCATGTTTTCAATCTGTTCGTTACGATCCGATATGTCTTTTTGAATTTCCATCGAATCGCGACAAATATCGAAAAGTATCGGAATTTGAAAAGGCAGCGAAAGGTTATGTCGATGTTAAGAGAGAAACGAGGTTAGTTTAATTATATGTAATTAAGAATCGAAATAATTGGGAACGAGCGAGAAAACGAACTAATTTATAGCCGTGTTTTCGTCTATCGGATCCTGACATGTTCGAACGCATCTCGATTCGAAAGAGTGACTAAAGTGAACGGTGAACGACGAGAGATATCTGGTTTATCGAATTTTATTTCATTTCTTCGAGCTTTGTCTCTCTCCCTGTGACCGTCGTAGTCCGCGTTTACCTACGATCCCTTCTTTTCCTCGTATCCGTTAGTATACGACATACGATATCGTGTTCGGCACAGGCAAAATATTTTGCCCAAGATTTTCGATGTACATCACGAAACTGTTTGAACGAGTATACATACGAGCCACGAGCGTATTTTTCGATTATCAATCGGTCTCCACATAACGTTACGATAGTCGATGACCTGTAGATCATCGAACGTCTGTCTCGTAATTATGTCGGTCAAACGTGCACGTTTTTTCTGGCCAATCGAGATCTTTTCTTTCGAAGCTAAGACGTTCAGCGTACGCGATATTCATACACGCTCACGCGCGAAAATAGTAGGACGCCCGATAAAATTTCATAACCGGTTGGAAAAAATGATCGACATTGTTGAAATATTTAAATAAATATTAAATACTACATACTTATCGTATATAGGTATACGATAAGTAGTAAGCAAATGTTGAGGAATTTGTAACAAGACAGAGTATGGAAATAGTACGAAGTACGAATATACATGTTTAAATAATCGCGGTTTAACGATAACGATTTTGCGCTACAATTTATAGACGGAAAAGTTCGTTGAAACAGTGTTTTTTTTCCTTTTTTTTTTCTTCTAATTATTCCTTACTGGCATATAGGACTAGTATCGTATATGCACCGATCGATGCAACCAATGATAAATCAATAGAATCGAAGTAATCGACGTTAGAACAAAGTAGAATTATTGTACCGGTTACCTTTTTTCTACTGATCGATTGTTCCCTTTTTTTCTACTCAAATCGAATCGAATCGAATCGAATCTAATCGCGGCGTATCGTTTTTTCTAGCGTTTCACTCGGTACAAATATTGTTAGCGAGGACCGTTACTCGCGAAGCGATTATGCGATTACGTAGATCGATCGGTAACCGCATAAACGTCGGATAAATTGGCCCCCGAACGCAATCTGGTGTAACAAACGAAATTCATCATCGATGTTGTTATCGGTATTAGCGTTATCAAATATTACAAATAGGAGTGGACTTTCAACTTTTCGCTCGATGGCCGCCAAACGGCGTTATCGTCTCACCGAGCTTCGAGGGAAGGAGAGAAAATATATAAGCGACGGAGCAGTTAACGGGTAGATGCCTTTAATTTTCTCTCAGAACGATCGATCGCGTTCGCGGAGAAACACGCGGCTCGAAATCGCCACGCGCACCTTATCGTCGCTCGTGACAAACTCATTCACGTTTGCATCGTAGTGTGACTCAGTTCATTCAATAAAAAATATACACATTTCCATCAGGAGATAACGTTTACGGGAATCAGGTGAGCCGAGCACGCGCCGCACGTGTATTGATCGAGTTGTCGATAAATACCGATTTCGATTTCTTTCTTAACATTTCAAACACTCGTCCATGAAGTTTTTTACGGCTCCGTTAGGTCCATAGGATCCGCAGTTCACGTCACGCAGTAAACGATCTGATCGTTTACGTCTTCCTTTTCTAGTTCTCCGAATCTGACAGTTCGTCAGCGTTAGAGCTCGATCGGGGCTTCGAAGACACGCATCGGTGATCCGAGAAAATTCTCGATGTAGTCGGGTTAGCTGCGATGTTGGCGAAATGTCAGGAACGCGTTTTCCTTTTTCTGTCGACGCGGTGTCGATACGAAAAGCGGTTTTCCTATTATCGACTCGAAATAAATTTGGAAAAAGTGTTAAGAGATCTCGTGTTACTTTATTCTCACGGAACAAGTAACGGTTATAACATTTCGGCATAAAGATTTTATTAATCGATTTGCAGTCTGTTTGTTCGTTTTCAGAAATTCAAGAGCCGATAGAAATGGTTGTTCCTACAGAGCACGCACTCCACGAGGCGATACAGGTATCGCCGTTGCTACTTTCGGACGACGTGAAGCAACAGAAGGTAAAGAAATGATTAAAATCGTGTTAAAACTGCGAAATGCGAAGCTAAAGTTGAATCGGCACTTTTCTGCATAAATAGTCTATCAAAACTGTATAAATCGCATCATAAATAAATGTAAAACTGTATAGATTGGTTGTAATGTTTGCCCACGGTCAACGACGGACACGTTCATTCATTCTCGATGCAAGAAATGGTGAACGCGACGAGTCCTTAACCTTGCGACAGTCTCGTTTAAGACACGGATCGATCGTTCACGCGTGCTTTCACTTTTGCCGTTACTCTGCCGATGATCTACGCGACAACCTTACGTTCGTCTACGATTTATTCCGTCTACGGTCTAGAATATGCACCTTTCTTGAACGCGTGCAATTACTTACGTAACACAGTTGGCGTCGCGTCATTCCGTACAGAAACTGTTTGATTCATCGCGATGCGCGCGATCGAGTCGATTGTCGCGTTTACATTCGTATTTATTCGAAAGCTACTCGTAAACCTTCTTTCGGTCGAGAGAGAATCGAGAGAGAATCGAGAGAGAATCGAGAGAGAATCGAGAGAGACGAACACGTTTCGGAAGATCGAAAACGAAGAAACGCGAGGCGATGCATCTCGATACGTAAATTGTACTTTTCCTAGTAAATATCGAGACGCGGAGCTAGAATCAAGGTAGACTTAAGAGTTATCGGTAGCGTAGAGTCGCAAACTGCTCGTAAATCGTTTGCTTATCGTGACCGCCGTCGTAGGGTTATCATAATGTAATTCCCCTTTATAAAGATATTCGAACGATTATCGGGGATTATGTGTTTCGCGTGGCAGTAAGAATGAACGGAAACAATCGTTTTATTTATTTACTCTTACGTTTTCGTAACGCTTTTTTTTTCAATGTCATAACGCTCGTATCGGCGATACAACTTTTAACGTAATCGCGTGTGCTACATCAGCTGAGAAGCTGTAACCGTCTCCGTTTCTGCATTCGATTAACGGACCGAACAATGTTACGGTCGATTCTTGTTTTTGCATTTGTTTGTCCGTGATTACGCGCAACTTTCCGACATGGAATCTCTTCGAATCCACGCGAAATAGATAAACATCGCGAGAATACGGCAATAATTTCCGGCGTGATATCGCGTTGACAGTTGAATCCACGAAAAGCGATAAATTTCTCTTTCGTTTAAACTGTCTAACGTCGACTGTGTGACATTAGACCTTCTGACGCGCGGATTACGAGACCTTGTTTACGCGACGATAGTAAATTTCACTCACGCGGATGTAAAACATTTTTCGAATGAAACATTTATCAGAATTTTCGAATCGATAAATTTTCATCGCTTCGAACCTTCTAAACAACGTTACGCGTATACTTTCCGGTTGCTACAGAATCATATATGTATAATCGACAAGAAATAATAATATGTCCCGTCGAATCAACGATATTTCCGTTTGTACGGGCGGAACGGTAATTCCGAAGAGGGGCGTAAAACTAATTTTGACCGATTAGGCGTTGAAGAATGGCAAGAAAATAACACGGTACCAGAGCACGGTTGAAGTAAGAAATAGTCGTTCGACGGTCACGATAACGTCAATCGTATTACATAAACCGCGAATGCGAAGAATATTTAACCACGTGCACGCGAAAGATCGCGTCCTTCGATCGAAACTTCCTTTCGATACCGCGAATACTCGGTTGTCGCGAATTTCTGGTTAGATCGATTCGGAATTCGTTTTTTATCCCATCATCTATAATGTCGTTGATGTCCTTTGGTAGAATTTCGTTAGATATCGCTGCTTACCGAACGATGCGTTAAATCTCGGAAAAATATGTTTCATCGACGCGTCACGATGCGATTGAAAATGTTTTACTTGCAGATCGAGCAAGAACTGGCGCAGATGAAGTTTTCAGCCGCGACAGTCAGACAAATCCAGGAGGTTTTTTTATCGGAAATGAATAAAGGAATTCATCTGGAACCATCGTCGTTGCAAATGGAGAACACCTACGTTCCGGAACTTCTCGATGGAACAGGTTGTTAATTTATCTAGTTTAAATTGTTATTTTAAATCGCGCTTATAATCGAGAAACGCTTTAGCAATCGATGCAACTTTTCGCCAATAAAGATAAGCGGTGACGGATGAACTTATAAATCAACAGAAACTTTTATGACGCGCATATATGCGCGTTAACAGCTATCGAAGGATCAATTGTCTCTTCGAGTCTTTTTATTCGCTTCTTATTTCGATTATTAGATTATATCGAATCGATGTTGCTGGCCGATGGTTACTCATTTTATTACCTTATATTTATTACCTTAGATTTATTACCTTATATTTATTACCTTATATAGATATCAAGCGTACCTCTTTAAGCAATTACGAACTACACGTGTAGGTATGTAGGTATGTAGGTGCACAGGTACTTGTATCGGTTTTAAGGTATCGCGAGTTTACTGCTAGAGAAGAGTAATTATGTGACGATAGAGGATGCTTAGAAACGCGGAGATAGTATAAATTATAGGTATGCGCGAATCTTGTACGATGACGAGCGCCTCTAGTAGGCACGGTCGAGAAAGCACGGAGGCGCGAACGGAAACTTCCTCGACTATTCGTATGAACGAAGGTCGCGGTCATATAAATTCCAACTGTTTAATCGTTTATCGTTATATTTGGTTGTATATGTATATTATTGTTATTACATAGACGCAATGTCGGGCATAAGTGTAACGCAACGATGATTTTTTTATATGTATATTTTCAGAGGAAGGTCTGTATCTGGCGTTGGATTTGGGAGGCACAAATTTCCGTGTGCTCCTCTTGGAGCTAGCCCATGGAACACCTATACGCGAAGAAGTGAAGAAATATCACATTAGCTCTGATTTGCGAGTCGGTTCAGGGATTCGTCTGTTTGATTATCTGGCAGAATGCGTTAGCGATTTCGTAATCGCGCAGGGTCTTCAGGATGTAGAGCTTCCTCTCGGTAAATTGGAATCACCGTATATATGTATACACGAGTTTAAAGCTCGAGGTTGGGGGAATCACGCGTGTGCTTCTGTTAATTGCTACTAATCTATGCGATGCTTCTAACCGCTTCTTGTGCTTCCAGAATGTAATTGCGATCGTTTCGAAAATAGTGTCGACAAAAGGATTCGTATCAACAACCAAGCACTTTCTGCTATCGACTCTCCAGTATCATTTTTCGCGAGCATTCGTTTTATAAATTCGAGTGGCTAACACCCTCGTTATTGATTCCACATTGATCGATACGATCTTAGGTGCGATCGATTATTCTTTAAACGTCGCGTCGCGGTGTCGAATAACGATAACGCGCGCTTACCTACCGATGCTTTTCTTTCATGGTAATCCAACCACCACCGATTCTCATCGACACGTTTATTCCTTCTTCTTCAGGTTTTACCTTCTCCTTTCCAATGGTACAACACTCGTTGGATATCGGGCTACTGGTAACCTGGACTAAAACGTTCAATTGTCCCGACGTCGTGAACAAGGATGCTGTGCGATTACTGCGCGAGGCTTTGGATCGTCGTGGTGATACCAAAGTGAAGGTGGTGGCTATTTTGAACGATACCACTGGTACCTTGGTTCAAGGATCAACGTTAGATCCTGAGACAGCGATTGGGCTCATATTAGGCACCGGTAGCAATGCTTGTTACCTGGAACGTGCCGACAGGGTCGAACATTGGGAGACGGAAAGACACGGAGAACGTCAAGTAATTTATTTATTTCTCTTTTTCTTCTTCTAACACCGTTATCTTTAACTCGATATTCGAACTGATCGTTCTTATTCAAGGTTATTATCGATATCGAATGGGGTGCGTTCGGAGACAACGGCGTTTTAGACTTTATCAAGACAGATTACGATCGCGAGAACGATGCAAATTCCCTTATAGTTAATTCGTTTACGTGAGTAACGAGCCTGTTTCAAACGCGTATATAATATATAGAAATTACTATCTGGATTTATTATTATATACCGTCCTTTTAACATTGCTAGGTTTGAAAAGTATATTAGTGGAAAGTACATGGGCGAGCTTGTGCGAATAGTACTTGCGAGGTTAAATAGAGACGGACTTTTATTCATAGGTGAGCATACGCCCGGATCGCTTTTAATCCCTGGCAATCTTACCAGTGATTTAGTGTCAGATATTGAACAGTAAGTAAAATTAAGTGAAAAGTCTGTAACTAAACGGTTCGTAAATGTTCAGATTTCTAATTTCTTCGAAATATTTGCGCGCAGAGACTCCGTGGACGGTGGTAGCATCAATACGGAAGAAACTTTGGAGAAGTTTGGCATCGTTCCGGACGAAGACGACGTAAAGATTGTTCAATACGTTTGCGAAGTAATATCGAATCGCGCTGCTCTTCTCGTTTCGACATGTAAGTTCAGAGACCTACGATCGATACGTACGTCGAAAATCTTTTGCTATCCTATGGATAAGAAATATTTGAAAAACGCGCGCGGAAACACTTATCGGCGATAGTGTTTTCTTAAAACGATATTATTTAATCGATCATTGTATTGCCCCTAGGTCTCGCAGTGTTGCTGAAGCGAATCGATAGAGAACGCGTAACTATTGCCGTGGATGGATCTCTGTACAAGCACCATCCCCGATTAGAGAGTTGGATCAAACAATACATCCCGTTGCTAGCACCTGATCACAAGGTACATATTGTCAAATAAATGCTTTCGTTTCTTTCTTGACTCGTGAAATTAATCGATTTATCGTTGATTTATAGTTTAAAATTATTCATGCCGAGGATGGAAGCGGGAAAGGAGCCGCGCTCGTGGCTGCAATCGCTCAAAGACTTCACGAAAGAATATGCTAGTACTAGTTGAATGTTGGAAATACTCTCTGGCGTATAAATGTATCATCAGTGGCGTAAACGATTGTCGTCGGATCTCTAATGTCAGACCTTGTTCGGAGTATTCCTTATGTTAACGTTATAATCTTGCATACGTATTTCTTCCTCTTTTTTGTTTTTCTTTTTAAAATCGTCGCGCAAATTTTATTGTTATTAGCATTACGAAGTGATATTTCGGAAGACGAGAGAGTGCGCGCGCGCGCGTGTGTATGTGTGAAAGAGAAAGAAAGAAAGAGAGGGAGAATGAAAGGATAAAATAATTATACAACTATTTAGTAGGTTTACAAGAAAAAAAATATCTATAGAAATCCTTAAGGGAATTGACGTCGATTTTATTGAACGTCTTTAAACATTCGCGTTTGATAGTTATTTTTTAACGCGCTGGTTTATGCAACGTTTCCAGAGTCCACTTTACTTACGTTGTTCGAAATATCTACTAGCATCGTTCGTTCGTAATTAGACCTATTGTTCTTCGTAGTTGTTACGTAAGATCTGTTTTGATCTTACATTTGTTAAGTGTTTCGCTGGCAGATATAAAAGAAAGGACAAAGTATGTTGTCCAACGTTAGTTATGTTCGCGTAAAAGTCACAGAGTTCGGTAACCTTTGGCAGAGAATCTTACCACGAATGTTCGATAGTAATATTCTGGCGAGGCTAATATCGCGTAGAAAACATCGAAAACGTTAGATTTAGAATACGAGAGGATGAAGCGTAGTGTGCTATTTTAACGAAGGAAAAAACAGGTAGGATCACGATCGTGTTGCGAGAACGAGCATATCTCGTGTATTGTAAGCAACCTGTGTGTATTCCCACATTAAAAGCGAGACGGAATTGTGACACGGATCACTAAACAAAGACATTAAGGACAAAGAGAAAAGGTAAAAAGTAAGGAGAAAAATGTGTCGATGTTCGAAAAGAAAAATATTTGTAAAATACATTGTTATACTTTGTAAATGATCGCGAAGATGTTCGATTTTTTGTACCGGAGGAACGAGGTTGTTTTAATAAAAATCGATGCGAAAAGCAGTAATTTTCAATCCCTTTCAATTCTTTAGAAGTTTTAATATGCGAATTTAATATGCGGGAGCGTTGTTCGATGATAGTCGTAGGCATAAAACGCGAAAGAAAATTCGCTGGTGGGATTAATGCGACGAATCGCATCGAATCGAGTAGCGTCGAATTGAATCGAAGAGAATGGAATCGTATCGAATCGAAGCTCAAAGAATCGTAAAACGAAAAAACGAAAAAACGAAAAAACGAAATCGTGCCGAATAGTCTTGTACGTAATTCGCGTCGGATGGAAACGAATCGAATCGAATCGATGAAAATCGAACCGATTTGGTTGCCGAGGATCGGTGAAACGAGACGAAAGAATTCGCGAACGAATATTCGCCGGACGAAACGTTTATGCCGGCTTGCGCTCGAACGTCGAGCAAGTGGACGGGGGCATTTGGTCGGTGATGAAAATAAAAGGAGAGACACGTTTGTTCTAAAGAAAATACACATTTCGCTTAGCAGATAAATCGAGACGTTGTCAAGTAATTAATAAGAACGATATAAAGATAGATAAATAGATCGTTTAGTATTCGAGTATTAAGTTAGTCTATTGATCTTGTTGCTAGGTGGTGAGAGCGCGGGTGTTTGAAACCGCGCGACGTTTGATGGTAAGTGTCGCAGATGGCGGTACGGTAGGTGGTCGTGAAAAAGTGACAGCTCGAACTGTCAGCGGTATGCAAACCGTCGCGTTTCTACTGCAAATAAGCGTTTCCTAACGAATCGAAGAAACGGCTGAACCTCGTCGAGTAGCTTTCCGTTGTTCGTGAGCCGAAAACGGTTTGCGAAAGAAGGATTAACGGTGTAAAACGCGAGACAGTGGTAGAAACGGTGGGTGTGCACGCAAAAGAGAACGGCTTGCCGGCTCGGCCAGTCTACTGGAAGATTCCATTGTGAATGGGCTTTCAAAAAGTTTTATCTCCGAAAAGTCAGTGTTTTCGTGCATTGGATCGTTCGCCCATGGATCTAAGCTGAACAGCAAGGTACGGTAAAGTCAGTTTTATCTAGAAGAGAAACGAATATCGAGAATTAATCGTTGTTCGCGAAGTACGGCCTATTAGAAAGGTTGAGGTTACAGCGGCCGCTCGGTTCAGCTGAGCTCTCAGCTGATGAACGGACGCACCGACCGGTTTACGGTGCTTATTTTAAAAACTCTCATCCTTTTCCTTCGCTTTCGTTCGCTGTTGAAATTCTCTTATACCGTCAGATTAGCTTCTCGCGTTAGCTTCGTGCAAACGCATTAACTTTTTACGCGATAGCGAGCGGTGTTTCGATTATTTCTAGTAACGATTATTTTTCGTATTTGCAACGAATCTTGTCGTTGTCCGACTGTCCTTTATTTCTATTTAGCATTGAAAATCGATATTAATTTCGATCGACCGATCGACAACGAAACAGAGGCAGTAGTCGAACGTTTTCGTATCGAACTATCGATAATGTGTATAATAAATATGATAATAGTTCGATCTAGTATTTCGAACGTCGAATCGTGTGTACCGGAAATCGGTAATTCGATCGATTCGGTCATAGCCGAAACTAATCCGTTTCTTGTCGAATCGAAAACGTTTACCGGATCGAAGTTCGATCGATACCGATGGTGGATCGGTGGTACGATAAAGGGAAACTGCACGTTTCTCGAATGTCGTTGAACTGTCAGTCGAGCGCGATGGTACTTTCGATCAGCTGCGAAGCGACCGATGACCGCGTTTCCAGCGAGTGCCGGCGTAAACGTCGCGCTTTGGCTCGAAGATTCGTCGGGAATTTCGTGGTAAATTTCGTGGCGAAAACAAGAGGACAGTGTAGAAGTAGAGAGGTCGAAATTTTTCAAAGTCAGCGACGAAAACGGCTCGCGGCATGGCACCGTTATCGTTCGCGAATCGGCTTGGTTTTCCCTGAAGCTCCGTCGAGGTCACCGCGCCCGGCTAGCGGCTGCAGCTGAGCTCCCAGCTGACGAATGGAGGCTGCGACCGGTTCGCCATGTTCCTTCCTTTTTTTAAAGGCCACCTCCTCCTTTTTCCCTTTAAATCGCCTTTCACGTGCTCCGCGACCCTCTTGCCGTCGTCTGCTTCTCCTCCTACTCTTCCTTTTGCCCCCTCTTTCTGCTTCTTCTGCTCCTCCTGCTCCTCCTGCTCCTCCTGCTCGTTCAGCAGCTTCTGCACCTTTTGCACCGTTCCCTCGTAGAAAATCGTCGCCCGTACATATCGCGTTTGTTCGCGGTGCACGTGTTTACTTGGACGAGAACGCTCGACTCGGTGTCCAAGTTGGTCGAACCAGTTCCGAACCGTTTGTTTCGTGCGTCTCTACTGTATGACACGTTCAGCCTAGCCGGCGCGGCCGTGGTGCGGCGCGACGCTCTCCGCGAGACTGTGCTGTACCTCAAGGTGACATTACACACACACACACACACACACTCTAGTATCAAGCGGAATTGACTCGCGCGCGATTTCGAGGGTGTCGATACATTTCGCGTGTTCGTTCATGTACCAGACCGTAGATCGATAGATAGTCGATATATTCGTACGATGTAATAACGATGTAAATATTAATAAGCGCGATTGTCGAACAGCGACAGAGTGGCAAAACGAAATCATTAGCATTAGTACAACGATTATCGGTAGAGGTCGTAGAGGTGTCATAGGAGTATAGAGCAAGTCGCGATTGCAGGTAATATGCATCGCTATTTAAAAGCAATCGGGTTTCACTCGCGTGCTCGTAACGAAGCGTGAGTCACCTGGCTTAGTTACTTGTTATTGTACTCGATTGGCTAATAAAGTAAAGAGAGCCGGCCAACCGGGCAGACGGTCGGTTTGCTACTGTTTTTATCGTTGAATCCTTGTCCACGTCGCGTCTAAATAAAATTCTCGTTTATTCACCGTGTAGCGGCACGGTGCGAGTCGCCCTATAAGGATAGTCCGTTTATGAACGATTCGATTTCGTTTGTTTCGATTCCGTTCGATTCGTTGACTAGTCAGATTAATTGCAAACCTTGTAATTATGCGATAAAACGCGCACTCCGGAACGATAATAATCGGTGGTAAACTGTAACGTAATTACGCGAGGCTCGTACGCCGTTGAAAATAATCAGCGCACCACGCTGTTCGATAATAAATACATGTACCGATATTCGTGCTATTTACGATTGTTTTAATCCGTTTGGCTGATTTATGCATACGTTGCGTGTACTTTTCTAAGTACTTTTATTGTTTTGGTCGACGTTTCCTACGTCGGTGATACCGAGCATTGCAACAAGTAGGCTCGGTTCGTTTCCAACCGCTATTAATTATTAACTATTAACGGATTATCCGAAGTAATCGATTTGAAAAAGGCGTATCAAGAAAAGGAAGATACGAACGACGCTTTTGACTTGGCTTTCGGACGTATCGACGTGTCGGACGAAAAGAAATAAGTATTTATCTATGACAATGCATCGATGATAAAACATTAAACGTTTCGTTTTCCAAAACGTAACGCAGCCTAGTAACTTTCCTGACGTCGATCGAACGCTCGCGCGTGTTAAACTTTGGTGAGCGCGCATGTGAGCTTGCAGTGTTCGAGCGTCGAGCGGTGATGAAGGGCGTCAAGAGCGTATACTTGACGAGGACGTACGCGTACACGTAGGTACGTAGTTGTATTCGGTTGTCGAAATTCGTTTGCCCGTCAGCGTAATCGGAAGCGTCGAGAAAACGAGATGATATGTCGATGGTGGACGGTGTATCGGAGAGTACAGGGAGATGGATCTCGAAGCGAAAGGGTTAAGTTAAGACTACTATCCAACTACTAACTACTACTAACTATTACTAACTACTACTAACGATAAGTAACCGGTAGGAGTACAAGTAGAGCAACCGCTCGACGACGCTCGACGACGCTCGACGATCGCGGACTGCAGACAGCGAGGCGCACGAGAGGCGTTCGCTCGCTTAGCCTCGGCCAGTGTGTCGTTCGAGATCGAATAATCTCGTTTAACGATTCGAAAAGCGCGATCGATGACGCAACGTGTGTCCGCGAGTTTGATAACCGATAACGAGCGTGATAGCGGTCGCTAGGGAAACGAGGAAACGAGGAAACCGTGACGATATCGCTCGAATCGAACAAGAAATTAATCGATAATCCTCGCTCGAGTTCGAAAATGGAAAGGTCAGAGAAATTTCAAAGTATCTTAACGCTTGGGTTCATCGAAGGAGTTAGAGCAAACTTAATATAGGGAATAGGTAATTACCACTCGACGAAGCGTACAAATCGCGAGAATAAAGAAGGATCGGTTATGTTTTCAATCGAATCGACGCGACGCGACGCGACGCGACGCGACGATCGAAAAACGAGCGCTACGAGTTCGTAACGTAGGAGAAACAGCATCGGCTAGTGTGTTCCGGTAACTGGAACGAAACCAATTCCCCGGGACACGGGCTTTAATCGTGTTTCAAGCGAGAATAAACGACCCAACGGCTCGCGTCAGTTCACTGGCTCTCTATGTACGTCGTCCCGTCTACGCTCAGGCTCGATCAAGTTCAACGACCGTAAATTTTATTTAGGAAAAGCCAACGGTAAGAACGTAACTCGGGGCCCGAAAGTTTTACGCGACTTTGATCGGTGCAGCAGCACCGCGCCTCGGAAATAAGAGAGCACCATTTGTTCGAGCATGAGCCGAAGCTAACGGTTCGATGTCTCGAGTCACGGTTCAACGAAAAACAGATACAAACAATGATCGGCTAATAATCCGTGCGAGAGGACTACCTTTTATTTATTTCAACGTAATCTATATCGGTCTCGGTAATTATACCGTAACTATCAAGTTACTGAGTTTGCAGGAAATTTCGAGAAATCTTAAGTACGTTGGATCGGAGAGTATACATATGTACGTATGCGGGTAGAAGTCGGATGTCAACTTGGAATAATTCCGACGGGAGGGATTCGTAACGCGTTATCATGCATACTTTCAGTTCTTTCGGCGGTTTCCTTTTTTCTATCGGTTTCAACGAGTTTACGAACCAGCTAAACTAGACGCTTTAGAAAAGAGGTGGAAACGCGGTTCCAAATCGGGAGAATGTAATAAAGGTTAATTCATTGTTTGCATTGTAATTGGATCCGCTGTTGAATCGCGTGCTGGCGAGGTAGAAATTTTCGGAGGCTGTCGGCGTGTCCGAGCTATCGGTTCCATTAAACAATTTCCGGGCTAGCTTCCCGATGTTTTTGTTCCTCGCGCTGCTGGCTTGGTTAGCTCTGCATTCTCGTTGCATATTTATTAGACGTCACGGCCGATAACAATCGGTCGATTGTTTAATTCTCCGTATACGACGCGGTTCTCCTCTTTGCGCACCGCCTCTGCGATTGTTCGCGCAAACACACCTTTTTTATTCGTCGTATATTATATACATATACAGCATGTACAGATTGCTTCGTAACATACGATACTCTACGCTTAAAGATCGCGCTGGTTCCGTAAACGCTCGTAATCGGATATGCGTGTCGAGCCATATTAATTACGTAACTTGACACATAAAAGGTAGATTCGATTAATTCCCGTGAAAAAGAAAAAAGTCATGAATTCTCGTTCCAAGTAGAGGTATACGCTCGTTTTATGTCCAGATAATGAGTTTCGATGAAGAGCCTGTTGGGAATCCGAGAATTTTCCTAGCAGCCAGTTGTTGGAATTTTCGGAAGCAACGCTGCTCGGAATACTGTAATTCGCGCGTCGAGCGCAAACGGAATCGAACCAATTTCTTTCTTCTTTTTTCCGATCAGTTGCTCGCTGTAGCTTTACTATATCTCCGACACTGTGTTTCCGCGCCAGAATCGATATTGACAAGCTACGTGCACGAATTTTTCATTTTTCCATAGTGCTGCTAACACGAGTCGTTCAATTAAAGCTTTAAGGGTTTTTCGAGTGTAAGAAAACTGGCCTCTGTTAGAATGGATAATTTTCGTGCCACGGATTCATTTAGATCGAGAGAGATCTCCCTGTTATTGTTAGACACGCGCACAC